GAACAAGAGGGAAAGAGGATCCTGAGGCCCTGTACCTCCACCGCGTCTTAGTAGTTAGCTTACTTGTTGCGGTTAATCAAATGCTGAGGACAAAAAAAAAAAAAAAAAGGCAATGTGAGTCCAGCCACCCAAGGCAGTGTTTCCATATTTAAAAACTAGGAACGTCAGGAAGGTCCTTCTCTATATTCACCTTTCTCACAACCATGGCCAGCGTTATGGACAACAGTACCGTCGTTGGCGACCGTGACACCTTTCGCAAGGATCAAGAGTTCTCACTCCAGTCAAAGAATTTCAAGTCGACTACCAGCCATGGAAAACAGAGGCAACAAGAGAACCACTTCGCAACCGCGCTCGATTATATGGAAGAAGAGAGACCTTTCTTTATTGCAATAGGCAAGGATGGCGTAATTGCCGCACTTCAGAAGCTCGATAAGCAGCTTGTACAAGTGAGTTTTATATCCATTTGTATAGTATGCTTCTCATTGTTCTCAATATCTCATCAAGGCCGGTCGTGTCAATATTCTGTCCAAGAAGGTTAGCCCCCTACCATCAGCTACATGCGTCTCGAATTCTTATGCCCTTAAACCAGACGCCAGTCAGCTGGATAGGCAAGGAAATCACTCCTGGACGGATTGGAATGATTAACCATGGTGGTTCACCAAAAGTTGTGACCCGTTCTGGTCGATATCCTAGCTTCCCTTTACGCAACTGGTGGGCACGGACCTGGTGTGGTACTAGGGGACGTAAGTACTCAAATATTCAGTCTTGTCGTATTGTTTCATTTTCCCCTTCCTAGTTTCGGATACTGTTATCGAATTCCAAGGTCTGACTGTCGTTCAAGTCTCCCAGAACCAGGCAGCGGTCATTTCTGACCCTCAAAACCACATATTTGTCATTCGGAACGCGGGTTTTGTTGCATTTTCCATCGAGGGAACATACGATGTCTTGTCAATTGTTGACCAGACCCACTTACACAGCTCTGTTAAGGACCGTGTGACTGGTAGCGTTTTGGGCTGGACCCATGAGGTCAAGATGACAAGCAAAATCAATGATCGCGAGGAGAGGGACTTTGTGGTCGCTCTTTTGTAAGCACCGTAATCTTAACTCGATTCCAAGGATCCCGACTCATTTATCTGTCTCCCAGCTTGAACATTCCTGCAAATAATTGTGCAGTTCTGCAACGGGGTGATGACCTTGAGTTGTTGGGCGCAGGACAATCTGTCATTACTAACCCCAGTGTGACTCTGCGCGGCTTGTACACCCTTGGAGAGAATCAGCTTGAGATGCCGACCAAAGATATGTACGCGTTATTCATCCACTAATTCGCATCATACTTCTTGGACTCATAATTTCTCTCAGCTTCACGCGGGACCAAGTGCCTGTCGGCTTGACAATATATCTCAAATGGCAGTTAACGGAACCTCTGAAGCTCACCACACATGGATACAATACTCCTTACGATGCTCTTCGGGACAAGACACAATCTATATTGACACAGATTGTCGCACACTTGGACTATTCTGCAATGGCAAGTAATGACTCTGATTATGGGTTAGTGGTAACTGATAATTGGATGAATATACAGGTCAAACAGCGCTCGTTTGGGCCGGATAATTTGGAGGACGGAAGTGATCCTTCTTCTGCTTTCCTTGATGCCCTAAGGACTCGTGCCATGGATGAAATGCATCAAGCTGCACTTGAATACGGTATCATTTTGAAAGATCTCGGTATGCTTCTCCCTTCCTTTGGTCGTACGAACCCTCACGTGCTTGGAATCAGCCGTCATTGACAGGCAATTCAAGGGTGATATCGCATCAACGATGGATAAACTTACGACTCGTGCTTTGCAGGCACAGGTTGAAGCAGCTGTGAGTCATAAGCTCTATTCAAGGTTGCCGGTGACTGAAATCAGTTACAGAATGTAGATAGGGAGAACAGCAACAAAGTCAAGCAAGAAGAGGGCGCCCTTTCCGTCGCACGTATAAAGGCCCAGTCCCGAAACACCCAAGCCGACGCAGATGCTTACAGTGTTATCACGGCGGCCAAGGCGCAAGCACAGCGTGTACGGATCGAAGCGGAAGCTGCTGCTGAAGCGACCCGCATGGCTGCGGAGGCCGACGCTTGGACCATTCGAACCAAAGCAAAGGCTGATGCTGAGGTTGTGGATGACTTTGCCCGTCAGATGGAACTCCGACGAATGGAGGTTTCTCGGGTAAAAGCTTTTGGCTCGAAAACTGTTTTCGTTCCTTCAGAGGGGCTTGGATCCCAACTGGGAAATGCGATGGCTGTGGGAATAGCGGCTAATATGGGAGTAAGGACCTCTTAAAAGGTCGTTTAGATGTTGTATCGATTCTGTTGTGTTTTTATATACAGTCAACTCTGTAATAATCCATACCTGTATAAACCCATACGAGTCTCGCAACAGATCATTTTTGCTTTGAAGCACTTGAAAGGTTTGTGACTCTCTCAGCAATGCTCAAATGCAAGGACAGGTTCTCTTATTCTTACAAGATTGTGGCCCAAAGTTCATCTACAGATAACGTGCCAACAATTTCGGAGCTGGAAACAGCTTATGCAAAGCTCGAAAATAAGACGCAGAAGAAGATGAATGAGATTAAAAGCAGATTGGCAAAGAGATAGATAATTACGAAGAGCTATGGGTTATTACAGATTTGACTGCAAATAATTATTATGGACATTTACCGGCGGAAGGCGCTGAAGAACCCAAAGTGGAGTACAGGAACGGGCTGTTTGCACGTGTTGTTGCGGGTTACAGTGAGGACCCCTCGTGGCTTGACCCCTTCTTGGTCTACTTTGACCACCAACCACCACCACAGCTTCCACTTTCTGTATACTCAACCACCACCCTCATCTCTTCGTATTGCCATCACCATCGTGCTCCAACATGGTCAGGTCCAAGTTCAAAGACGAGCATCCCTTTGGTGCGTAGCCTCGGCTTGCCTGTTTCATTCATTGACTCATGCTGTGTCGCAGAGAAGCGCAAGGCAGAGGCAGAGCGTATCCGACAGAAATATCCCGACCGCATACCAGTCAGTTCTCTGCATGTATCCCAGCTGTTATATCGGTGGCGTTAATACTGGTCGATCGTAACAGGTGATATGCGAGAAGGCGGATAGGACAGATATCCCTACCATCGACAAGAAGAAGTATCTCGTCCCGTCTGTGAGTTGATTGACGTTTCCTTCTTGTATGCTGCGCCTGACTTGAGGAAAGGATCTCACTGTCGGCCAATTTGTATATGTCATTCGCAAACGCATCAAGCTAGCACCAGAGAAGGCCATCTTCATCTTTGTCGACGAAGTGTTACCGCCGACAGCTGCCCTAATGAGCGCTATCTATGAAGAGCACAAGTGCGTCCCATTGGTCCATTATTCGTGTGCGATATTCAATCGATTATAGGGACGAAGACAATTTCCTATATGTCAGTTATTCGGGCGAGAACACATTCGGCGGTGAAGGATGGCTAGAACTACTGTGCGATGCATGATATTGTTTCTCTGTATGCACTCGAAGGATCTTAGAGCACAGGAACATATAGGGGCATGACGTCTGGATTGATAGGTTGTCCCGACCTCGATCTTTCGTAATGCTACCGCCATACTGGTCTGAGGTCTCCGTGTATCAGTACTCCCTTGATTCTTCGTGTTTTGCTCTCCTTTTGTATTTTAATATGACCCTCGCCCTTTCATACATGAATTTGATTGTACTGATGAATAGTACAGCAAGATCTGTGCATTTTGTCGTCTATGAATATATTTGTCCTTCAAATTCGACCGTCACTCATTGAAGAAGTGATATTTGTGCACAGTAAGACTTGAGTGTGTCTTTCACCTTGACTTGTTCGGAGATTGCAAGTATGTCGCCACGTTGTGTTGCAATTGGATGTGACGACTGATGTCGCAACAAGTAATGCGTAGCATCGTAAAATAAAGCAAAATGGTGAGAGCAGAAGAATGCCCATATATATGCAACGTCCTTCATGTTAGGTATGGTTAATAATGCAGATCGTCCAAATCCCCGTTGCCCAAATTTGATGAAAATCCATTCATCGACTAATGCACCTCCCTCGTTAAATCATCAGTATGCCTCCAGCTGCGCAGCAGCGTCTGCTTAATATTTGACATGCCACTCTCATCATTCTCCGCATGCTGGTACTCCGACCGACCCTTGACAAGCTCGGCGGCTGTGCGACGGTCACCAGGAGCAAACGGTTGGTTCCACGGGGTGAAGATGAAGCTGGCAGGGTCCGGGAGCGGGTGTGCCGTGATCTCCTGCAGTTCTCGTTGGATAGCCAAGCAGAATGAGTCGAGATCAAGGTCATTGAGGTCGTAGTTAAAAGGATTTTCACTACAACGTCAATAAGCAACCCGGCTGATAGACAAGAGGTTGAGCACACATACATCTCAGAACCGATCTCGAGGAAACCGAGAAGGAGGAAGGATGCAAAGGCCGTCGCCGGAATCGTAAGGTAGTGAAAGGAGTCAAAGACTTGGAACTACGAAAAGGGTTAATAGAATGGATGAAATCAAAGATGAGTTGATAACGAACCGGGAGCAGGAAGAGGTAAATCCAAAGCGACATGCGCAAATGTGCCTGGTACGCAAAGGGAAGCGGAGTAGTAGCAATTCTTCCCAGGTTGTTCATCGTGTCCTGGAGCATGCCAATGTTGCTGGTGATAGCGGCCGCGATGGCAGGTTGGAGGAGGCCATTGCGCATAAGGACTACACAGCACACTCCAATCAATAAAGGAAAGAGACGGGCCAAAAGAAAACCATACAAGCTGAATATGTGGACAGGAAAATTGTGATCTCCAGAGGAACGTTGCTTTCTTGGAGCCGGGGCTTGATTCTCCTTCCTAAAGCGTTCCTCGTCGAGCCTCTTACGTTGTCGATTCTGCGAGAGAACATTTTGGCGACCCACTTGAAGATAAGGAGTACCGGAATATAGTCATAGAGCGTCACTTTTGGGAGATTGCGTGAGGGCTTGAGTGGCCGATGACTGTGGACAGAGGCCAGAGCCTTTTCAGGATCGAACACCTTGGTCTTGGATTTTGCAGACCGCTTGCTGAGTGACTGGAGCCTTGATGATGATGGTGCTGGAGAGAGGCTAGGACGGTCATTAGATTTTGGTGCACCGCCGTCAGAGGGCTCAGGGATGGTGGAGTGGACATTGTGGTCGTAAGGATGTTCTCCGTCTTCCGAGGCCTGCCAAAGAGGAAGCATCTCACTGGATCCGGTGACCATTGGAGATGCGAATCGTGGTAGGAAGCAGATGAGAGGATAGAGGTCTTGATAGTACACGCCGTTCTCACCTCGGAGGAAATGCTGATTGATTCAAGTTCATCGGAAGACCTGATAATAATAGCAATATCCATACCTTGATTGCAACGGAAAAGGCTTGCACCAAGTTAATCATGGTTTTTTTCTCGATGACACATTCCAAAGTAGTCTGTACTTTGTTCTGTTCCTTGTCCCGTCTTTCATTCGGAACGTGTATCCAGATCTCAAGGTAAGTTCAGTACCAGTGTATAGTTGTAAGCTGACAGGAGTCACCATCTGAGCTAGGTTCCTTGACACAATAGAGATATTTGCCCACATCTTTCTTCCGTCTTGGTACCTTTTCCAAGTCAAGCAATGTTACATTACGACAAGGAGCAAAGGAAATCATAACACACCTTTCATAGGCAGTCGATGTACGGAATGAAATGACCAGACCGAGGACTGTACCCAGCACAGTCAAAAGTTGGGGAGAAACGGCCAATGAGTGCGGCGTTTTGATCGACACAAAGGTCACCACTAGGAGATCGAATGCTGAGCAGCGCCAAGGTGTTCAAGAAATCTAACTTACTCGTAGCGACGGCAGTGAAAAAGAGCACCTCGGGCCATATGTCGTTAATGACGGTGGCATTGAACTTTTCAACGGTCCATTTTCCGCGTAGGACAGGGTTGTATGCAACCATTAGAAAATATTTTTACAGCTCGAGCCCTGTTGGCTGCGGCTGGGAGAGATAACGAAAGTGGGAAAAGAGAGGAAAAGAGGAACGTAAAACTTACGCTTGGCAGAAAGGCCTTTTATTCAAACAAACGATGGTTTCTGGGCGCGATCAGTGAAAATGATTTGGCCAGACTGTTCCCGGACCGAAATTTCGCAAACAAGTTATGTATCCATGGATCCGAGAACGAGATCTACTGCACTAGGTCCCTTGTTGGAGATCATGATTCAGGAAAAAATGAATGAAAGATTTTGCAGGACTCTTGCAGCCACCTCAGTGATTGGAAATAACATTTATGACAGGTTATGGTGTCATTGTCAGATGATGGTTGCCAGAGTCAGAGCATGGTATCATAGTCCTAATAGCTTCATAGGGTGAAGATTTCGAATCGCCGCAAGTTGTGACAGTTCTCAGTCGAGTCGTTGTTCTAGTGGGATCTGTATGCTGTAAAGATGGACCAGCAGACATACATCGTGTGTTTGCATCGACTTCCAACAGCCCCGAGGCATGACGGTCAGCAACTGACAGATACTACATGCGCAATATTCTAGCTGTAAGCGCTTTTGTAAGTGCTAAACTTGTTGACATTAGTGACAAGGATCGTTAGGAATCTATGGTATTGGTCGACACTTTAAGACAGCCCAACTTAGGCTCATCTATCCTTGTACCTCGCTGGCCGCTGATTAGGAGAGTGAGCATCACACATGGTGCATAGTTCCAACAGAGAACGTAATATTTCAAGGATATTTGTAGATAACTGAGTAAATTTTAGCTAGCATGTGTGGGACGTGTAATATGCGAAAAAAGTGTAACCTTCACATGGTATAGGCAGACAGTCACAGGGGCGGACTTTATTCATCTGGCAGCTTGCTCAGCGTCAGCCTGAAATGGAAATAGCCAAACCTAACGTTCAGCTTGGAAATAAAGAAATCCGTCCTGCGACGGCTCGAAGATTACTTTTTACTTCTTCTCAGTAGTCGTAGCGGTTGGTGTCCCGAGCGGCCTGAAACTTTGACTAGTCCATGTTGCGGATGGTCGCTTTCAATGCGTTTGAAATTGCTATGTTGGAAGCACTTGATATCTCAGTCTGGTCCCATGCAAGTATATCGGCCCGGAGATATAACGTTCTTGCCCCCGGATTTGAAGATTTTGGCCCGGACTGAGCACAAAAATGAAAGATGGAGCAAGAAGAGTGATACTTATCAAATCCTGAAGGAATATAGAGTAGCCACTTCTCACGCAGATAGCGATAGTCTTACTGATCTGCCATGTCTACTCTCCTCGACCAAGTGCGCACCCTTCTCAAAGTCGATGTCGATTCCATGGATCCGGCCGTGGCGAGTCGGCATACTAGCGATAGCGCCAAATTCGTAGACATGACCTCGAATCAGGCGATTGTGGCTGGGACTGTGACTCCAGAGCTGCTCGCTGAGGCAGTGAAAGTAAGCGGCGGCGGGAGCGTGGAACGAGTGTTGGACGTTTTGGTATGCCCTTTGCTCCCGGGATCATGTCTTCCCACTCAACCGAAGGATGGATGGATACATAGACCGTCCTTCTGGCAAGACGAGTCCTTCCGCATCTCACCGGGAACGTGCACGCTCAAACAAGTCCTAGCGTGGGTTATAGTGTGGAGGGAACAGTAAACGAAGCTCGAAGAATTGTTACAACGTTCGAAGAGCTGAGTGTTCCGCGGGCGAGAGTTTGCATAAAAATACCAATTACACCTGAGGGTGCACAGGCGTGCAAAATCCTCCAAGATGAGGGTATCCAAACACTTGGAACGTGTGTATTTGGGGTGGAGCAAGCGATCGCAGCAAGATTGGCAGGCTGCGTGTACCTCGCGCCATACTTCAATGGTACGGATAATATATTTATTCGCTGGCCCCATCTCAATCGCCACTTTGTCAACAGAACTGTGTGTGCATTTCGAAGAGGGAGTATGGAAAGCATACAAAGTGGGCGTGAAGGGAGAGGAACATCCAATGATGGATGTGGTAAGGACGATCGTGACAGCTTATAAGACCAAAGGAACCAAGACGAAGGTCATGCCAGCGAGGCGCGTATCATTTGGGTAGATGAGGAGGATGACCCGGAGCTTATCGATTACCACAGTATTGTCACCGCTCAAGAAGTGATCGCACTCGTAGCTCTGCAGCCAGACCACCTGACATTGTCGGGTGCCGTGCTCGATGAATTGGCTAGCCTTCCTCCAGTACCCATCAACCAATTCGATGATATTTTGAAACATGAATTGACAGTTGAGGAGTTAAAGAGTGCGTATATCGTTGTCCCTTGGGAGTGTCCTAACCGCATATACAGTTGTCGAACAAGATTACCTAGCAGACGGCGGTAAATTATTGAGGGAAGTATTTGATGGGAACATGGAAATGGCGAGAAAAATGAAAGAGGCGCTGTCTATCTTCGCGGACTGTGAGCAAAAGACAAAATTTAGTATCAAGACGCTTTTGGTGTGATCGCGTTTTCGAGGGCAGGGATGATATACTTTATGAACGAGTCTGTAATGTGTACAAGATATTCTGATGTATTCTGGTCTTGCATAGTTCCCTCTGGGATGTCAAGCGTGAATGAAGGAGCGTATAGCGGGAAAAAAGGATGGTCGTAGGGAATGTCAGTGTTCATGGGTAATGGATCAGAGAGCTATATATATATTAGTGCCTTAGTTGATGCAAATTGAGGAAACTTACAGCGACAGAAGTCAGATACGCCCAGGCTCTAGCTGCATTAGGAGAGTTGTAGCCTCCTCCGCCGAGCAGGAGCTTTTTCCCGGGAAAAGTGGCGAGAATGCGATGAATGTAATAGCCCATCGATCCAGGCTGGTCAAGGGAAAGTGACCAGTTGAACATCGCATGGGGATCTTCTGATAACGCGTCAACGCCGCATTGAACTATAACATGTGTTGGCGCAAATACTTCTGCGACCTTTTGCACAAGGGGAAATATGACCATGTATGTTGAGCATGAGGCACCAGGTTGTAGAGGAATAGAGAGGGCGAAGGGGTCAAACGACGGATCAGACTGGCTGGGGAGCTGGAGCGGTGCAAGCGGTGAGACTGGAAAGAATCCAGGCGAAGCATGGTGAATACTGAGCGTCAGAACCGAATTTTGCAAATAAAACGCCTGAGAAACTGCGTCGGAGAAATGCAGGTCGAGGTCAATGTACATGATACGGGGATGGGGGTGGTTAATCTCTTTGACGCGCTTCATGGCAAGAATAGCCAGGATGCAATCGGCTACGTAACAGAAACCAGAGGCAGCCGATTTCTGTGCATGGTGGCGCCCACCGTCCCAGCATATGGCGATGTCTGTGATTTGCAGGGCTTTGACTGCAGTTAGGGTGGCGCCTGCAACAAGCTGGACATAGGACGGGAGCCCTGGGAAGACAGGACAGTCATCCGTGAGACCATGTAACGTTGAAGATGAAGCGTCGTTATCGAGGACGATGTCGAGATAGTCGTCGGAGTGATATTCACGTAGCTCTCGGGTTGTTGCCGGAACGGGTCGGACGACTTGAGCTGCCTTGAGAAGGCCAAGCGAATTAACAAGCGAATGAACTATTTTCGAACGATTTCTGTTTGATGGGAGACGCGACGCAGCATCGACAAGTTGCGAACTGACGATATAGACGACCATCGTCGTGGTGGTCGATGTTCAGGAATTTCACGATCACATGACTGCGCTAGCTCTTAGTACAGTTCCTTCTAGTTTACCATCGATAGCACTTAACAGCACCACCAACAAAAGTAGCCTTTTATATTTTAAGCGCAAGAAATTAGAACCTTTTCATATTCACTGTCATCTTGGTGTGCTTCTACGGCCTCAAAATAAAGACAACTAAGTTCCCTCAAGATCTACCGACCAACAGTAGCATATGAGCCGCTATTTTTTTAAATTCCAACGACAGCCCTCCGATTGAGTTCAGCGCAGCTCTCCGAACAATCAACGTATGACTACGTTACTCGGACTCTTTTTCTTGGGACAAACGTAACTTATGTAACTGAAGTTGGTGTTATTAGTTAAGTAGCAGAGTTATACATAGGTTGTTCCCTTCGAGACAACCTGCGATCGCATGCTGCGCCTGAAAATACGTTTGGGCTTTCTGTCGAATAATTTGTACCCCAGACCATAATAAGTAGACAGTCAGCCTTCGTGTCTTTTCGGAGAAGTTGGAGTGGCGTACAAGAGCACGAGTTTTTAGTGAAGGGTGAGAAGGGAAGCTCATCTGTGATTCTGATAGGTTTTTCTATCCTACTCTTACAAGCTACTAAGCGAGTAAGTAGTGAAACGGGCTCATGGCTACATGCCAAGTACCACCATCAATTCATAGTGCCGAAGACAAAGCCCTCAACGGCCAAGCGATGCTTCCCTCGCGGACCAGAGTACACAGAGTTTGCGTTGCCCAAAGAATCCAGAAAAGCCAGAGAAGCCTCCCCCGTTGTCCCGCTCTCTTGCAATCGATAGAGTAGACGGAGCTCAATCTTCTTAAAATTACCACAGATCCGACGTTATGCAACCGGTTCTATCTCAACTTGAAAAGTAAGCGGAAGCTGCGGAACTGTCGGGATCCAACAAATAGAAATGCTTGGTCTTCGGAGATACGAATATTATTGGAGCAATACAACTTGTACTTGGCCTGATAAAGTGATCAAGTCCTTTGCTACGAATGACGCTAGAGGGCACGGCAGTAAATCCGATGGGTGTAAATGAGCGTGTTGAAACTTGAAAGTCTGCCATTCAATTCAATTCCAAAAAACGGAAGTCGATGGTTGAACATTTTAGGAAAGAACAGGCATGAATCCGATCTACTACGTACTACAAGGGCTACCTTTCACCCTTGGCGAGCAATTCTGGGGTACATACCAGTATCTGTGAAACCAAAGAGGAGATATTAAATCGCTAGAGTAGAATCAAAGATCCAAAGGTGTCGTTACGAGTTAATTTTTTTGATCGCGTCGCGATCTGTACTTATACGTGGCTTGAGATCGGTCTGATGGTGTCGATGAGCACCCTGACTAAGTATTTTAATGATGGGCATGAGAAAGAAGGTTGTGGATGCCAAAGTCGACGTTACAACGTCAAGAGGTCCATTCTGATAACAACGTCGGCCATCAGTCATGGATGAAAGAGTAAAAAGAATTTGTGTGCAGAACGTCGAACAAGCAATGTCATTTAGTGTAGCAGATATGTAGGCGCCACCAGACAGTACATGAGGCAACAACGGCCGGGTTCCTCGTCGGTGGATTCGATCGACGCGACAAACTCGGAGAGAAGACAAGAACAGTTGTAACGTAGGAGGATCCACAAAACACGGGCTATTCCTGGAGGATATCTACGTAGAGCGGCATGACGAAGAAACAATTAAATTATCCGACTGTGGAACTACAATGTGCCCGGGATTTGAGGGTGCATTTGGGAAAAGTGAGCAGCCGAGCAGGGTCGACTGATGTCGTCGATAGAGTCGATAGTAAGAGCATCTATATCCAGGTCATCACGCATTCTCCAAGTTGGATGGACGTCACGGTGATTCCTTTCAGGTCCCCCTCAACACGTGTTCGTCGCTATCGACGTCCTGCAGGACAGTTGGCCGTCTGTCAGCGTAACAAACGTCGGACTGCGCGAGGACAACTCCCAAAACGGGACCTGGTGATCGGCAGAAGCCAAGCGTGGGAGAAATTTGTGATCCCGAGGTCAGTGGAACCTCCCGGCCCTTTCCAGTTTAGGTAATTTCCCAAGGCGGGCGGACGGCAAATGCCGGGCCAGCCTGGTCCAGGCGCGTGCCCATATGAAGACACAGGACGACCCACCGACGTTTCCTCTCCCCCTTGCGGAGGGAGCTACGTGTTCGAATACCTGAGGCATGGTTGAATAATAGCTGTGTCCCGAAAAGAAAGGATATTGAGGGAAATAATAAAGCAACAAGAAAATGTATTGGAGGCGTGTTTGTGCATGTTGAGGCCGTGGCTTGTGACCAGTCCTGTCCCTTCATCCTCTCCTCCTCTTCCACTCCCGTCCCTTCTCCACCGCATACCCTGTTCGTTGCCATCCAGTATCCCTTCTACCTAGTCCCTTTTCTTGCTCTTTCTCTCCGTTCTCTTCCCGTCAGTCTTCCTATATACGACCACTGGCTACCGTCTGCGTCCGTCGAGACAATCTCCTGCCGTATCTTCTGCAATGTCAACCCATGGACCCATAAACGGCGTAAAGATGTCTCGTATGTCGCCCAATTTTCTCTTCCTACCTCAGTTCTCACCCCGTATCATCGTCTTTTCCTTCCGCTCCGCCCTTGTTGTCGATATATCGATTTCCATCGGTTCTTGTTTCCTTGTTCTACAGCTATCGATGATCCCCACAAAGTCGTCAAGGTCATTGCTTCCGACGGCAAGTCTGGTGACACACGAGAACTCTCTTATTCCAACTGCAAGGTCATTGGTAACGGCTCTTTCGGTGTCGTTTTCCAGGCGAAACTGCTCGGCGTACCCAAGGAGAGCGAGGATATCGCCATCAAGAAGGTTCTGCAGGACAAGCGCTTCAAGGTACCCGTTCTTCTCTTCCCGATGTTTCCGTATACTATATGTCTCGCTTCCCCAGAACCGTGAACTTCAGATCATGCGGCTTGTTTCGCATCCGAATGTAGTCGACCTGAGAGCATTTTTCTATTCCAATGGTGACAAGGTGCGTCACTCTTCTTGTACAGTTAGCTCACTACTCATTTTACCGTAGAAAGACGAGCTCTATCTCAATCTTATGCTGGAATACGTCCCTGAAACCGTCTACCGTGCTAGCCGCCACTACGCTAAACTTAAGCAGCCGATGCCCATGCTCCAAATCAAACTGTATATGTATCAACTTCTCCGTTCCCTCGCCTACATTCACTCCGTCGGTATCTGCCATCGAGATATCAAACCACAGAATCTGCTCCTCAACCCTGCCACCGGTGTCCTCAAGCTTTGCGATTTTGGCTCTGCAAAGATATTGATTACCGGTGAACCAAACGTCAGTTACATCTGCTCCAGGTATTACAGAGCACCGGAGCTCATTTTTGGCGCCACGAACTACACCACCAACATCGGTAAGACGCATTCATCATTGGCACTGGGCCTGTTTGATACTCACTGTCAGTTTAATTTTATTTAGATATCTGGTCAACGGGGTGTGTGATGGCAGAGTTAATGCTTGGTCAGCCGCTGTTCCCTGGTGAAAGCGGCATCGATCAACTGGTAGAGATCATCAAAGTGCTTGGAACGCCGTCCAGAGAGCAGATCAAGACGATGAATCCCAACTATATGGAGCACAAGTTCCCACAAATTAAGCCTCATCCCTTCTCAAAAGTTTGTGATGCATGTGGCCCAAATGGAGTTGCTGGGTACTAATTAATGACAGGTGTTCCGGCCTCGTACATCCCCCGAGGCAATTGATTTGGTGGCGAAGTTGTTAGAGTACACACCTGGCACACGGCTCAGTGCGATAGAGGCCATGGTCCATCCCTTCTTTGATGAGCTGCGGGTCGAAGGCGCGAGGATGCCCAATGGGAAAGAGTTCCCGTCGCTGTTCGATTTTAAACGTGAAGGTACGTTCTATGCTGTGTTGTCCTCCAAATGGTGTCGTGCTAATAACAAAAACCCTAGAACTCTCTGTACGACCGGATTTGATCCGTCAACTTGTTCCGCCACACTGTGAACCAGAGCTGGCCTCCCGGAATATCGTGTTAAATAGCTTCGTACCCATACCATTGGAAGACCTGAAGATAACGCTGGACTGATGCGGCGGCCCATGTTCGTGCCTTGTGTTCGATTTTCTCTTCATCTTTTTTCATTCAGTCCCACTTTATATATATATCTTGAATTCAATGCCGAGCAGGAGATGTACACGATGTTGCAATGATTGTAGTATTGAAGTGTGATTCGTGCTTGCGGTGTGATTTGAGAAATATCACCAGTATTTGATGAAAATTGCGACATGTGGCGTCGAGCTTGCACGAGATCACTGTGATCGAGCTTGGCTCTTCTTTGTCTATTAAGGCGCACCTTGATTTCTTACCCGCCTCCTCTTCCTTCCCGACCACCATGGCGGCGAGTACCTCGTACGTCTGTGACACCATTCCCGCCGCTCGCCTCGCCCTCGACATGAAAACCGGAGATACGCCAATGTCGTCGCCACCCCCCGATGATGACGATCCACCTTGCCGGCAGACAGAGCAGGAAATCCATGCAGAAAGTGAAGCAGAGTCGCCGCCGCCATTCCCACAGCAACCTCCACCGAGAAAGTTATGTGTCAGGCATCAAAGGATGGCGGATGAAGGAACAAATTTGAAGCTACAGCAGGTGCGAGGCCTTGGATAAGGACAAAGAATAGTAACTTTTAACTATCAGTGCAGTCACTGGACGCTCTACCGCTCGAGGACAGGTCCGCTGTCTCTGCAATCTGGTCCAACTTTTCATCATCCTCCCATCCACGGAGGGCCTTGATTCTTCAAGGCCTACTCACCATGTGCTGCTTTTCCCAACTCTCCCTTCTTACCGAACAACTCGCCCATCTCATCCGAATCGATCCGTTCACTGTTTTTCCTCGCGAAGTCTCTCTCAAAGTCCTCAGCTACCTCGATGCAACATCTTTGTGTCGCGCGGCACAAGTCACTAATCACTGGCGCAGTCTCGCTGACGATGATGTCCTATGGAGGGGCATATGTGAGCAGCACATTGGTCAAAAATGCAGGAAGTGTGGCTGGGCCTTGCCTATTCTCGAGAAGAAACGAACGTTTGCCAAGGCTTTAACGCCGCCGCCAAGCATTGCTTTGTTGTCGCCCGAACAGAGAGTAAAGAGAGACTTGGAGGATTCCGCTGATATATCCGAACGACCGCTCAAACGGTCAAGGTCAGACGACGGCAGCGACTCCTCGACATTGGGGGATGAATCTGCGTGCGCCCTCCTTGCCCCTCTTGCCCCCACGCCGACGACCCAGATTACCCGTCCGTGGAAAGACGTCTACAGCGAGCGCATGACAATAGAACAAAACTGGCGGCGTGGACGGTGTACGGTACGCACTCTCAAAGGACACAAGGATGGCGTAATGTGTCTACAATTCATGGAAACGCTATCGCATCCTGCATTCCCCGTGCTTATCACTGGTTCTTACGATCGTACGGCTCGATTGTGGAACCTTGAGACTGGACTCGAGCTCCACTGTCTAAAAGGGCATACAAGGGCCATCCGTGCTTTGCAATTCGACGAAGTCAAGTTGATCACAGGGAGCATGGATTCGACGCTCAAAGTGTGGGATTGGCGACGGGGGAGGCTCATCAGAACGCTAACAGGACACACGGAAGGTGTCGTCTGTCTTAATTTTGACTCCAACGTCCTTGCCAGCGGCAGTGTTGATTCGACAATCAAAGTGTGGAATCTAAGGACGGGAGGCGCATTTACGCTGAGAGGTCACTCAGATTGGGTCAATGCGGTCAGGCTTTGGGATTCCAATCCATCGTCGACACCTTCCACTACTACGAAAAGTCCGATGTTTGACACGCCCGGATGCGCGGCGCCACAGATCGATCCAGGGAAAATGCTCTTTTCGGGATCGGACGATGGCACTATCAGACTCTGGGATTTGACGCAACGGGCCTGTGTCAAGACTTTCACTGGTCATGTGGGGCAGGTACAGAGTCTCAAGTTGTTATTCGCGGATGATTGTAATGGAGAAGAGGCGGAAGGTGGCCAGGTGAAGGATGAGGAGAGAGAAGAGGAATCGCGGTCACGATCCAGAGCGAAGAAGCCCATTTTGATCTCTGGAAGTTTGGACAATACCGTAAAGCAGTGGGACATCGATACGGGGAAGACTGTAAGGACATACTTCGGACACATCGAAGGTGTTTGGGCAGTCGCGAGCGATAAAATGAGGCTGGTTAGTGGCAGCCATGATAGGACTATCAAGGTTCGTTTGGTGGTCTTGGTCTTCAAATTTTTTTACTGACGCGTCTGCAGGTCTGGTCGCGAGAAGACGGTAGTTGTACTGCTACGCTCGTTGGGCATATGGCCGCGGTGAGCTGTCTTGCTTTGGGCGAAGACAAAATCATTTCTGGCGGCGACGATAACGACGTCAAAGTATGGAGTTTCAGCGAGTGAATCGTAACATCTCCACATCACTTCAACAATTCTATTCACCTGCATCTTATTGTTATATCTTGCCCTACTATTGCTGTCTGTCGGTTTTGGCTTTCGTTGTTTTTACTTTCAACATTATATTATCGTTTACCCATCATATACTTCTTACTTTACGAATACAGAGGAATGATATGCAATAGATACACAGCCTATTAATATTAAGGCCAAATGTCCATAATCGGTTCGAGAAGCAACGGGTATCCGGTGATGAGAGGGAAACCAAGGCTCTGTAGCTCTGCGATACGATTCCTATAGATACAAACTTCATCAAGTTCAAGGGCTTTCGCCCACTGGAGCAACGATTGCTCAAATTCCGACGAATGCTTCGCAATTGACGTTCCAAGTAGCATAAATAGCCCAGTGGACGATACTCCTCGAGATCTGGTGACTTGTAATATAAAACTTTCTTGACTTTATCGATTAACCGTAGTTGTCGCTCGAAATTAATGAGCGTGTGAACCTCACGCTCAATGGTGGGCCGGTTATTTGGTAGAACAGAGTCCAGGTCTTGAATATGGACATCTGAATGGTGTCAATAGGGCGTAGAAGGAACATATCGGGATACATCGTTCCCTCTCAAACAACTGGGCGGGCTGACCTAGAGTCTTATGATAAGCTCGTCCATGCTTTGCTGTTGACATGGCGTCAGCCTTCCATCAGCGTCAGTGCGAGGGCCAAATGCTTAGGCTGGAAGTATTCGGTGAAGCTTACCCTGGCATCAATAGCACGCAACACCTCCTTGGCTTTGTACTCCTTCATCCACAATAGTAAGGAGGCGTCCACATAAAATCACTGTTGGTCCAGTCATCACAGCAGCTCCTCAACGTATGTAAAAGGATCAATCCTTAAATTGAATGCTATGCTTCTTCCCTAAATCTGAAAGTAAAGAGCTTAAGGGGTAGCGTGGCCGAGTTGGTCTAAGGCGTTGGATTTAAGTTGGCTTGATTCCCAATGGACGTTAGTCCGCGCGAGTTCGAACCTCGCCGCTACCATTTCTCTTTTTCTTTTACCAAGAGTTGCATAAACATCAGCTATCCTCAAACTGAAAATTCCATTCCCGATTCATAGGGCTGACTCCTGACAAAGATTGGGACAGCGTATGGAGGCGTCGGAAATGGTATTTACTGATAATGGACGAAGGCCACATGTGTAAGCCATGCAGGTACAACGAGGTGGACTAGACCTTAATTGTCACAAGGCATTTACATGGATTACAGACGAATTCAAAAGAGCTATTATTGCGCCCGTCAGTTTGAATGCAGTGTCAACGATCACTTGCACGTACATCATTGATGTTGTCCTGACCTCCGGGTCCTTGACGAACTCTAGGTTTCAATACCACACATGAAAAGATCTGGCACAGCTTCAGAATCGATGGTACTGACCTGCGGGTTGGTTTAAATTCCTCAGGAGCTGGATCTGCACCCCAGAAGCTGCCAAATGAGCTCTTTCCACCGGGTTCAGTCCTTACTCGTCTAAAGCAGAAAATGTAGGCACAAGTAAAAGGCTTAAGGAAGAATCACATACCGGCTGGGCTTGACAGTCGATGTGAATGGGATTCCATACTCCTGTTCCTCCGCAGGGACCGAGGAGACTAGTTGTTCGGATGTTTCAACCTATCAAGGGACAAAACGCAAGCGTCAGCTTCTGGTAGATAAAGCAGGGAGTAATTGCCTGTTGCGATTCTTTTTGCGGGGCTGAGGCTAGAGCATCCTCTTGATCTTGGAAGTCATTGCCGAAGATATCAGTGTGTGGCCCACCGGGGACAGTTCGTACGCGACGCGTAGGCTTGAACACGTCAGTTTGTTCTTGACGAATAATTAGATGGGAAGTGACGCGAACACTCAGCAATGAGACGCTCACCGATGGGTGGAGATGCCGAGGGAGATGCTGCGGCTTCAGCATCAAGCTGGTCGAGCGGCGGAGAGAACGTGCCAAAGGACGCATAACCTAGGACGCGTTAAAGACGGGCAGAAAGCATGGAGAGACAAGCCTCACGAGGTAGCTTTTGGACATTGGTAAAGTTGGTGTCCACAGTGGTACCGGTATACCTGTATATGTACAATGAACATCCTACGAGAAAGAGAGGCAAGTTGCGCTTACTTGAGGAACTCAATAAGAGATCGTTTTGTAAAGATGATATTAGTGTTGTCCCAGTCAAGCATTCCTGGTAAAATCACGGTCAATGGCGTGTCGATGGGTGTCGACAAAGGATCTAACCGAGGTTCGCAGGCCAGTTCTTTTCCTTTGTCATGTCGATGACATCGGAAGGCATGAAGCTGAATTCTAGTCAGACAGATAAATGCCATTGAATCCTGTACATACGAGGTAGACATTCTGGTAATGACTGCGCCGGTACTGTTGGTGGTCGTCGGGGTGGTCGTTGATCCAGTGACCGTCGCGACTCGTGACGTGACCTCGATGCCTTCTTCTCTTGGACCGTTTCTGACCCGAAGGACCTTTGCTACCTACCGTATTCTTCCCTCAGCAGCCTACACAGATGCTCACAATACAAATAATCCAGCTACAACGACGACGCCCTCCGCAATCTCTGCGAAACAACGACATGCTCTAGACAGCGCCCTCAGAGTCGACCAAGCGGGAGAAATAGCAGCTGTTTCAATTTACCAAGGCCAGTTGGCCATGCTAGGGCGGGATGCAAAGTTGAAACCAATGCTTCAGGTTTGTAGCTCTTACTGACGTGCTTCGTTGCTCATCTTTACGCGTTTGTGTACACCAGGAAATGCTGGAGCAAGAGAAGAAACATATCACTGTGATGGACAAGCTGCAGGTGCAGCATAGGGTCCGTCCTACCGTTCTGACAGAGGTCGCGAGGGTTGCAGGATTTGGACTGGGTGCAGCGACGGCTTTTCTGGGCAAAGAGGCCGCAATGGCCTGCACGGAAGCCGTTGAAACTGTGATTGGAGAACACTACGACGAGTAGGTATCCTTTTATACATTTTATTTGACGTGCTCAACTCTCCTTGTGTGTAGTCAACTGAAAGAGATGGAATCATTACCTTCAGATCACCCCAGTGTACCTTTGTTGAGAGATGTGATACGAGAGTTCCGTGATGATGAGCTTGAGCACCTCGACACCGCTGTCCAGAACGATGCTCAAAAGGCGCCTGCACATGCTCTATTGAGTGCGATTGTTGGCACTGGTTGTAAAATGGCCATAGAGCTTTGCAAGAGAGTTTAATTGCTTGTAATTATGCGTTCCTACAACCAATGTCATCTTCATTTTGGCTTGACGGACAATGACTCTGTCTTCAGTGCTCCAGCCCACTTCCAGCGCGACTAGAAACAGCGAGTCAGCAACGGCACAGCGAAGAAAGAAGGATTCCGCGAACATCCGTTGATGATGCCAGCAAGTAGATGGCGGTCGGGAATACGATGCCTGCAAGGACGGCCGCACGGATGTTAGATGGTGTCCAGCGGAATCGTAGATAATTTGTTTCGCGCTGAACAGAGAGCATCAAGGCCAAGCTGTGACCAACGTTCCAGTCGGACTCACATAACGGTCAAATCGCTCGACGGCAGGATCAATGAACTATGGATAAATGTTTAGTAACAAGGCAAAGGTTCACAACAGATATAACCTTGTAGGGACCTGTAAAATACTGAGTGACGCTCAGTATATACTAAAGGACATCCTTACCGTGACCTGCCATGGTGAGGAGAAATCAAGGCGACGCTTTGTTTGTTCCTTGTTTGTTCCCCCTTTCCCTCTTACTCTCATCATCCTCAACGACCCATGACATATAATCGCGAATGGGACAGAGGCAAGGACATTTGGGCAGATGGCGCTCAGTGGCCTACAGCAAACGTCCGCCCCAGAGAAGATGATCATTATGGCGACGGCAAGCGACGAAAATTTAACAGCGGGGTGTGCCATTTTGCTTATTTTTCTTCTTAATCTTCTCATTGTTTTCTCTAGGGATATCAAGGCTACGATGCGTACTCAAACTACGAGGAGGGGGCCTACGATAGCACTGCTGCTCCGCGCCCATCTGCCCAAGACTTTGGACAGCCACGCAACGCTGCCGGAGGATTTCCTAAGAAACGCCTGCAGCCCTCCGATCCTAGTCCTCATGTCATCTTTCTTGGCCTCGATACAGACTTCACAGAAGCTGATGTGCAACTTTTTCCCTCCTTATCAGACGCTCTTCTCACTTTCTTCTCTGTAGCTTCAGGCATACCTTTCCTCCAACGGATGTAGCGTCGAGACTGTCACCATCATCCGAGATAGATCAACAGGCACTTGCCCATTCGTATTTCCTTTTGCGCACGCATTGACATAATTCGTCGTCGGGTTTTCAAGGTACTTCAAAAGGATTTGGTTTCGCCCAGTTCTCTTCAACAGATCATGCACGCTTATTCGTGGATCCTCTATTTCCTTACATCCAAGTGCCTCCGCCTGCATCTCATGGCGCAACGGCAACTGCAGCATTCTACAAGGCTTTAGAGACGGGCCCCCCCCATAGCGGGCGAAGAGTTAAAATTGACTATTCCCAAAGCGCCACACCTCACGAGAAAGGACGCTTCAATCGCGGAAACGTCAATGATGGCACTCGTGATATTGGGAACTCTCAAGCAGCCGTCTTGTTATTCCGTGGTCTTGATCCTCTCTCTGGGCCCCAGGCCATTCACCAAGCCATGAGATCGTCGTCCGGGCCTGGTAAAGAGGGCGCTAGGGGCATGAGACGGATTATCTTGATCAAAGATCGAGTTACCATGGCTAGTTTTGGCTTTGCCTTCGTGGAGTTCACTGATGTGCAGGCAAGTTGTGTTGTCATGTGCACAACTCAAAAGATGTTCTGATCTTTGTCTTCAAGTCTGCTTCGGTAGTTCTTGCAGCGACTATGTCACCTCAGATCCATCCATCCGGTTTTCGCATATCAGATCGACCTGTGGCTGCTTCTTTTGCTCATCCCGACTCATTTCAACCTATTGACAATGTGATGTTGCGCGACGATGCCTGTATACCATCTTCCCTAGTGCTAGGAGGCATCGAAGGCACTTGGGTTAGGTACTGGGATGACAGTTCCACGTTGGCTATGCTCGAGTTTCAGGTTGCCCAGCCAGTACCGGCAGTCCAGACCGTCAAGGAACGGAAAGAAAAGAAAAAAACCAAAGGTCATTTGCATATTTGCCCATTAACGTTTATGTTTGTTTTGTTGACAGCAAGTTGTAGAAGCGACAGTACAACGTTCATCGGTTCAGCCTGCTCCTTCAACGTTACCTGTTTTCGACAAACCTGTCACTCTAAGCTTCAGCAAGGGCCCAGCTAAAGCTGCTGGTAAGCTAGATATGGTTAACCCTCAGGAGTGTTCTCTTATCACATCAATGAACAGTGCCTACTGTCAAGAAATTTGTGGCCTCAGCTTTTGCATCTGATGATGCAGACGACGATCAACAGGACGAAGCTGAAGATCTGCTGAATGCCAGCCGGAAAGGCAGGGAACATTCTCTTTTACTCCATCACAATGCTTACCCACTGTAGTCGGAACGTCTAAGCAGCCTACGCTGATCGTAAGCAAGAAGGTAACGTGAAAAGAATTTGTCGCGCAACGCGTCGCTGTGCCTTTCGTAACTGAGGTTGCCCGTAACCAGACTGCCAGCAATATCAACAAATGGAATCAAGTTCAAGAAGAACTTTCTCAAGATGTCAGTGCTCGGTCGACTTCTGCTCTGGTGACGATTATCTTTTGGCTCTCCTTTGCCACCATTGGAATACCACGGTTCTTACATTCTGGATACTATACATGCAGGCCACGATATCCACTACTGATGCTACCGGGTCCACTGCGCAAGCATCGAGTGCACCCATCCAAGGCAATACGACGTCGACACCGACATCGACATCGACACCGACACCGACACCGACACCGACAGACTTCGAGTTCTCGGATGTCAGCGCGATGAGTTGTCTTCTCTGCGCTCGACAATTCAAATCCGTGGATCAATTGAAACGCCACAACAAGGAATCAGATTTGCATAAGGCTCGCGTTCTTCAACCTGTGTACTGTGTGTTGTTCTGTGACTGGGCTGACCATCGTCTTTTTTGATCTTTTCCCTCGGAATCTTCTATCAATTGGAAATGAACAGAAAAATCTCAAAGATTCTAACTTGCAAGAAGTTGCCCGCCAGAAGGTCAAGGCTCGACAGGCAAACGCCGTTCCAAAATATCGTGACCGTGCTTCGGAAAGGCGAATCCTTTTCAACCAGCCTGAAACTCCCATGCCGGAGAAGGATAATGGGCGGGCGGTACCCAAACGGCAAGTTGAAGGTCCACCTGTACCGCCGTCGCCGCCGCCGCCGCCGCCGCCGACCAATCCGGGCGAGGATAGCAATAATGTCGGCAACAAAATGCTCAAGATGATGGGCTGGACGGAGGGAACTGGCCTAGGAACAAGTGGCGAAGGCCGAGTGGACCCTATGTTCGTGTCACTGATATCGTTGATTGATCTCTATTGATTTCACTCCAGAAAAACTGCCATATATGTGGAAGGCGCTGGTCTAGGGGCCAGCAAAGGCAAAGACATCGGCAAACTTACAGAAGGCTATTCGGGCTACGTCTCTATGGCGCAGGATTCTGTACGTGGTTTAGAACGGTTTTTTGGGGGTTTCAGTAAACTCAAAAGAGAGTTGATACAGGCACGAGAGCGATATGGGAGCTAACCAATATCTAAGCGTCCGTGTTCTACACATTTTTGGCTCAGGAATGATAACTTGTTTCATAAAATAATTATATACCAAAAATCATTCACTGCTACCCAATCAAAGAACGAGCGTGTTATTTATTTTTCAGATGTAATGCACAATATAAACGAGTAACTTAGGCAAACGCTTGCAGCCCTACAACTAAACCGCCGATACCGGCGACAACCATTCCAACACCATTACTTAAAGCCCCGTTGCTGCCGCTCGTGCTGCCGGCAGAGGTAGAAGTAGAAGCAGCGGATCCTGAGGCAGAAGAGGCGCCAGAACTCGAAGCGTGAGTTGAAGAAGCGACAGAGAGTGTCGAGGTAATGACGGAAGATGTTGCAGAAACAGAAACGGTCGAGGTTCCTTGCTCGACGGTCATGTATGTCCCCTGAAAACAGCATCGTTTGTCAACCAGCATAAAGGGCAGAAACAAAAAGATTCATACAGCAATGAGGGAACCCATGCCGCTGTCCTGTGATTATGAATCATGAACGGATGAACCCAAGCATCTGCAGTTATATGAAACTTACAGACAAGTACGAAGCCAAGTCGAAGGTAGAAACACCAATGTTTTCGGTGTACCCAGCAGGTGAGGTGAAGGTCGAGGGTTGTTGATAGAGGAGAATAACATAACTGCCAGAAAATAATTAGGCGCGTAGAAGATAAAAAAGGTGAGCAACGAACCGGTGAGCTCCACTCCCTTCGGCTGGGGCTGGTCCAGCATACGATGTAATGGCTGTGGCGGAAGAGTTGGAAAGGGCGTCGTCTAATAACGCATTTGAGGAAACGGTTTTCATACACGTGCACAAGATGAAACGCAACTGGAAATAGTGTCTCCGTTAACCAACCAGTGCCGAGTGACCTGGGCGTTCTTGGTTCCAACGACGTCCGCATCGACCATGGCAAGAGTGAAATTGCCGCTGAGTCCGACCGACGAGTTCGCCGCAGTGACGGTAACAGTAGGAGCCGTGCCGACCTCTGCAACCTATGTCGGAAAAATTGGGTGTATGGATATATTGAAATTGTACTTACGATCCTGGCTGAGAGCCTGTCCGGGCGTTATATTTCCGACACCTGGGGTATGATCAGTATATCGATTCGACCATGCTCGCCGTTGGACGAACCTTCAAAGTTGACTGTGAGAATGGCGCTGGGGTCGAAAGACGACAGCAAGTCGGGCACAATTTCGGATTGGGTGAAATGAGCCTTAATGGCGGCAATCTGAAGGGTGGTATCATTGGAAGACTGAGAAGCGACGAAGGGAAGAAGAGAGAGCGACAAAAGGACTGGAAGAGAAATCATGGCAACAAAAGGTGGTGGTGGTGGTGGTGGTATGAAAAAGAGAAAGGATTAAGTTCGCTTGGCATGACGCGTGTGGCGGGCATACTCCGCCGCCAACCCCCAAACATGTAAAAATATTATTATATGCGTGGTCCGTGATGAGAAATGCAATGTGATACAGATACAATATAAATGACAATTCTGAAAGCACCTGTGAAAGCCTGTACCATAACACTTGGACAGCGTCGACCGTCATCGTTCACTGGAATCCTCTGAGCCTACAGTCGCATCCTCTAATGCGCTAATTTCAGGCGTGGCTGGCAGAAGGGGCGAGCTCAACAGATCTGCATCGGATATCGAGGAAGCAGCCTTCCGTCTCCGTCTCCGTTGTGAAACAGCAAACGTTGGCGACGATGGCGTCGGTGGTTCAAAACCGCTCGATGCTAGACGTGCCAGAAGATCGCGAGCCAAGTCATCTGGGTTGCCGTCTAGATCCAAAGACAGTGGCGCGTTAGGCCGGGTTTCCGCCCCACTTGGTCGTGTCCGGCGATTCTTTCGCGTCCCCACAGTGTCTCCATTCCGCAATTTCTCTAGTAGACTGTCTAGAGTGTCAGCACCCTGATTCGACGTCTCCATCGCCTTCTCGCGATTCAATCTCATTGTTTCGGCAGCTTGTTTCCGTTTGGCCGTTGCAAGTCGTTCATCTGCAGCAGTCTGGTTGTCGGCTTTGCATTTCTACTTCAACAGTCAGCCGAGCCTTTCTGAAATCAGCAAGTGACATGCCTTGTACGACGTAACGAATGTTTTGAAGATACCATAGAATTCAGAAGAACTCATGTTCCGATTATCGTCTTCGCCGTAGTAGCCAATGACCTCGGTGAATGTCGTGTCTGCAAGCCGTACTTCATCCACCAAGTCGTCCACCTGTATCTTGGCTTTGTTGATAAAGTTCCACATTTGTTGCCCGTATCGTTCTGTTTGATCGATACGCACAAAATGTTCTTCTAGTTCTTCGCGTATCCTCTTGAGACCATCCCGGAGATCACCTAAACCCTTACGAAGTTCTTGAAGATTAACTGCCAAGAGTAATCAGAACCTATGACAGCATCTGAAAGAAGAAGGTACGTAGCACACCTCTGTACGCCTCGGCTGGCTTTGCAAGTTCCTCGAGGAACTCTTCCATGTCCGGGAAATGTTTAGCAATGGTACGCTCCAAGAAGTGAAGTAGTGTCGTGTTGTTTACTGACTTGGTATCAACTAGCTGGAGACGCTCATCAGACGACTATCGAGGGCATCGATGCAAAGGTAAAATAATTTACCTTATTGATACTGCTCACACGGAAACCAAACGCGCCGCCCTTCACACCGGTCCCATTCATGTAGTTCCCAATCAGAAGAATAAGCTATCGAGCACCAGTTAAAAGTAACGATTAGTCGAACAACAAGTAACTTACACTGAGCAACTCCTTGAATGCTTTAGCATGGAGAAGAGCGTCTCCCGCCTCTGAAAGTTTCCGCGCACCCTAAGTCATAGACTGAATAAACTTGTTCCAATCAATGCAAGACTATATCGAACCTGATCCAGCAGCGACCACCGTTCTTCAAAAGCACATTTGTATAACATACCCTCAATACGAGGTTCCAGACGATCAATTTGTATCAGTTTAACCATGAGACGGTCCGACGGATGAAGTTCAGCAAGTTCCTCTGGCCCTGAGTTCCGATAAACGTTCAGTTTGCCGACCTGCTCTGGGGATGGCAGTACCCGTTTCAATTCACTCAGAAACACCTGGGAACAAAGGTCCTGATCAAAGTGTTGAATTTTGCGAGCGATCTCCTCAGGCTCAAGTTTCTTGACGCCCTGAATGAGGATTTCTGACTAGAGGGTTACAGATGCGCGCCAGCAGCTATATGATATACACTCACCAACTCTTTTCTTGGTTTCAACATCCAGAACACTCTTCAGCTCAGCGCGTTTCTGCCGGGCTAAAGAATAGCGGTCACAACGGCATCTTTAATGGTGAATTGACTACGTACCCATTAGGTTGATAACCAATTGCTTAGCCTTGAAGTCTTCCTCCATTTCCATCCATACACCATCAGTCTGGAGCTTCTTCAACATTTCATGTTCCTTTGCCGGCTCCTCGTCATTCCACAGTGTCTTTGAAACTTGCTGATGTGGAAGTTTGTCCCATTGCAGCTGCTTCATCTTGGTACTCGGCGTGATAGGGAGATCTTTTCTAGCAGAGAGCAAGGCGTTAAGGTTTGAACCGAGTAACATCGAGGCCCGTGTAGAGCTGGGAGCGGAGCTGGGATTGGAGGCTAGACCTTGACCTGGAGGAGGTGGTGGCGGAGGCGGAGGCGGGGTAGAGTTTGCGGAGGTCACAGAAGAGGAGAAGGCGGGGATCATTCCGACAAAGCCAGGTGGAGGCGGTGGCGGCGGAGGTGGAGCCCCTTTGAATCCAGGGGGCGGCGGAGGCGGCGGAGGTGGGGGCGGAGGCGGGGGCGGTGGAGGCGGGGGTTGGGGAGTACTGTGTACATCGCCCTCCTCTTTCAGGGTCGGAAGAGACGGAGGCGTCGGACCCCCGCCAGAGGAGGATACCTGGCGACTCTTGGCCAGGAAATGCTTGCTGAGCTGTTCAGCCAACGACCCAGGCGCCGGTGTACGCCCGTCAGCAGAAACGTGAGAACTGATGGACGTTGAGGGTGTATCTTCAGATGAGTTGTGTGATCCTCGGACTGACCGATCACCCTCGCTCTCTTCACCGTTAACGTTAGAGTGGTCGCTTAACTCCCCAACATCTTCGAAATGTGGCGAAAGAAGATTATTGCTCTTGTACGGTGTTCCTAGACCTAACAGGGGTCTATCTGTACGTCTTGGTGACCCTCGCGCACTTCTTGAGCTCGACAATTGACTTTCCCTTGGAGAATACTACAGATCTGGTATCAGGCATAAGCACAATAAAGACCAACACATCACTTGCAATCACGACGCCAGCAGCCAGTTGATGCTGTATTTGCTCATCTGCGTCTTGATCGTCTGCATCCATAAACTGCGAGACTCTTCCGTTGCCGTCTTCCGAAGATTTTGGCCCACCGGTCTTGGACACCTTACGAACGGCTTTTGAACCGCGGCGCAATCCATTTTTACGGGGTGTTGCATCCATATCTTCTTCGTGGTCGTTGTCGTCCTCTCCTACACCAGAACCACTGTTTCGGCGATTCCTTCTGTCTCGACCTTCAAGAATACCGATAGTTTTGGTCCGCTGCCAATGTTTCTCAAGCGTTTCCACAAGAGTCTTGCGATCCATACCACCATTGTCTACGATGGTCTCGATGCCGTGGCCGACCTCCTTCAACATCTTGAACAATTCCATGATCTGCCATTCTAGCTGGGCAATGGTCTGCTCATATCCGGACTTCTGAGTGGCAAGCTGGCCTTGGAGCCGGGTTGTTGTTTCCCGAGAGACATGCAACTTCTGTTCAGCGCGCGCCAGCTGTTCTTTCAGCTGCCCAACTAGGCCGTCATGACCTTGAGAAATCTCATCTTCCAGAGCCTCTTTCTCCAGCTTCAAACGTAATGCTTCCGCACGAGCCTTGTTTGCTTCATCCTCGACAGTTTGGTAACGGTCAGCTTCGTTAAATTGCGCTATGATGCGTTCCACTGAGTGTCCAAAACGCTGCTCGGCGCCGGCCAGCTTCTTGTCCATTACAACATCGGTCACTAGCGAGTCGAGAAGCTGGTAATAGTGCACCATCGGCGGACCTTCCTCTCGAATCAGCAGTAAATGCTGCATCATAGACAAGAAATAGTCTCGGGCTTTACTTTCTTGCAACTTGGCATAAATTGCATTGTAAACGTCCAAAGGGTTAGTAAGGTCGCGTAAAATCTCTTGATCCAGCCGTTCGCGGAGTTTCTGTTCGTCCTCATCTAAAGATTTTTGCAGGAGCAGCAATTGCTTGTCAATAGCTGGAACGTTGAAATTTCGGCAGAGCTCAAGAATGCGATGTAATCCAGCAGCCTCCATTTGCGAACGATGGTGAAGCCTGAGATCCAGATCATCTACGAAGTAGAGGACACCTCCAAGAAGTATCAAGTTCGATAACTGTGTACCATTAGTAAAAACCAATGCAATCGCTAGGATACACTTACAGCGTATTCATTAAGATTACTTTCAAGACCACCCGCCTTTCTGACGTCTTCGCTTGCACCAACCAAACTACCCATCTTGCCTCGTCCAGAGAGAGACTGCTCCATTGATTTGAACCAATAATCATATGGTCCCCCACTCTCATTATTTGAAGAACTGAGGGTTTCCAAAGCGGCGACAACAAGCATGTGCGCCTGACCATCATGCCAGTAGGTCAGGAATGAAAGCAAGTCCAACAGCAGCCTTCGCGTGGGGATATGAGGAGTATTGAGGGAGGACGCGACTTGTGTTACGATCAAGTTGTGCGTCAGTGCCTCTGCTGTCGCTGACTACCTCTTTAATTAGCTCAACTTTCGGAATTGTATATATACCACCTACGGAGTTGTTAAAGATTCGCTTGAGGCATTTGACGATTTCATATTCAAGATTAATGTCGTTCTCTCCTCTAAATCACTGTCAGGTCACTAGTACATCCAGGTTCGGTTAACGCACCTTGACGAACCCTTGCGACTAATGTGCATAAGTGTCTGTGCCAGGACCGATGTTCCTTGTATAGAAATGAAGTGCTGAAACCAGCTGCTCCAATATTAGTACACCGTCGATCCTAGGGTAGCAAAATTGAACAGACCTTAGCTCTAAACTACGCAGTGATACTTGCAGACTTCCAGCTTGCTTTGGCGTGATGCTCTTATTCAGAAACTTTTGGATGTACCACTCTGGCGTTTCGCGCATTATAGAAGGTTGTCCTAACTCTGTCTGCCTTCGCGCTTGATCGTCTCTCTGCTTCTCCTCTTTCCGTCGAATTTGCCAGTCATTATATACCATATGCCATTTCTGATCAATGGAGAGATTCGGCATGTCCGCAAGATCTCGAGTGCGTTTGACATTATCGAATAGTGCTTCGATCTCCTCGTCAGTATCCGGCCGAGAAAACTGTATATCATCTGGATTGTTATGCCGATGAGGATGATAGAAATGATTGAGAGGAGCCCCTTCAGAGGAAAGGGATGAGTATTTGGAGTGTCTTGTGCCTTCTGACCGTGTTGTGGCGGAAGACATTGGGCGCATGGTCACAGTGGACGCTGAGGCTGGCATGGGTGCATAGCCATTCGCAGGAAACTGACCAAAGTCAAGCATGTGACCCGAAGATGAGGATGCTTCACTGCGACGCATACGGGTTGTTTGAGGTGTGTAAAGCTTGCTCCCGGACGAGGATCCAACAGAATCGTTATACAAGGTGGAAGAGTCTGAAACTGAGAAGGTACTGGGTGAGCCCAAACCATGATCTTCGTTTCCTCTGTCTCCACCGGCCCTACTACGGGTCATGCCAAACTTGTTGAATTCGGTGCCATTGGAGGTTAGCGTTGGATTAGTGATGGGTGCCGAGATATATGGTGCCCCACGGAGCCCTTGCGAAACAGTGCCCACAGGAAGGGGTGAACTGGGCGGAGGCCCTAACTTATCATAGGGAACGGAGCTCTCGCTGAGTTCCTGGGTAGAAGATATCGATGATTGACGAGGCTTCGTCTTCCTGCGGCCAAAAATGCTGTCCATTCGAGATGAGTTGGAAGGAAGAGAAAGAATGAGAACCTCGTCCGACGAGGTACGGAAGGAAAACACAGAAGATCAGGTGGGCCGTACCGACATTCGGTAAATCGTGAAGCAGAACAGCGAATGGTAATAATAAATGAAATACTGGTGATACCGTGACTAGGGTGTCGTGTTGTAATGCCTTGTTGATCATCACCCCCAAGCACGTCCACAGCCGCCACCACCATGGCTGGCCCAAATCTCGAAATATTCAAGTTTTCTGTCTACCTTTTTGTGCCGATATGGGCTCTCGTTCACTTTGGAGATCCTTCTTGGTATCGAAACAATGTCCTTCCAGTGAGCTCTCTTCAGCTGCTTTGTTTCTCTCACTCTACGACACTGAGTCCTCCCAGTACAAGGATAAGCTGTTTCCCCCAACTGTACAAAAGGTGTGGCTCTGTACTCACTCAGCTTCATGAAAAGATACCAATTTATATGTCAAGGAAATCCCTACCGAGCAAAAGCTTTTACGGGAGCAATTAGCGCAAATTAAGGCTGACCGGATCACCTCTGCTCGAGCAAGAAGTAATGATGATTCTTAATTGCATGGACCCATCTGTCGTGAGTCAACTAGTATGGCTCCATATAGACACACTCAGATGGCTTCTAGTTGTATGTCATTGTCACTGCAATCAAAATACACGCTCATGCTTGTTTCTCAACTATCAATTTTTCTCCTTCGTTGATCGATACTTCCCAGCCACCAGCTTTGTTCTTCTCAACCACTTTTTTGTAAAGTTCTATGTCACCAAGGGAAACCTTGAACCCACCACAGACAACGAATACGGCTGTCCTTTCCTGCATCGAGTTCGCCGGCCCTGGAACGAGTTTATTGAACAAGGTGGGACTGTATGCAGGGGTAAGGGTCGTAGCACAAGCCAGCTCTACCAAAATTTTATGGTCACCTGTGATTAAACATCAAGATTATGGTCTTGCATAAGTACTCAATTACTCACGAGTGAACAAATAGGAGGCTTGCATGCTCAATTCATCCGGTACACTGACACAAGTAATACCTCCCTCTCTTGTCAATGCCATCTTTACTACTCCGGCCGCCGGCTGTGATGCGCCCAGCGAACCAGATGCCATCGAGGAGAACTCACTAAAATGAGCCAACATGACATTTTCTGTCTTGTCTTCAACTGCGCTCACATGCGACGGAAGAACTTTGGCAAAATTTCCGGAAGATTGGCGGTTCAAAGCAATGGAGTAATGAAAGCAATTGGATCCTCTGGTCTCTAAAGCGACGACGGGCACTGTATGGCGAGTTTATCTCTTGAACCGTCCCCTTCGCATTGATAAGTACTCACCATCATCCCAACCAGCCGCCTTGCAGCCGGTAATGATACCTCCCAGCAGTCCACCTCCACCAACACTGCAAAAGATTGCGTCCGGTTTTGGAGTCAGTTGCCTCGATATCTCGGAAACCAGCGATCCGTGTCCCTCCCACACCATCGGATCATCATATGCTGGAACCATCACCCTGCAATAGCGTTAGGAACTAGACGACACGTCCCTGTACAATTCCACGCACGCATTCTTTTCTGCTTCTATCACTTTCTGAGCGGCAGCCAGCGCTTCAGCATACATCTTTCCAACTACTATTGTTTCGGCATTTTCCCCTTGAAGTAGATCTAAAGTTCGCTCTGCAACACCTTCAGGCACGTAGACTGTACAGCGAAGGCCAAGGGCATTAGCTGCACAGGCTCCAGCTAGGCCTGCGTTTCCTCCGGATGCGACGATAAGATGTACAAATGGACCATGCTTCTCTTTTGTTCTTTGAACGAAGAGGGACAAACCTCTATACTTGAAAGAATGTGACGGATGGAGGTTCTGTGGTATCGATAAGACTTTCCGGGAGTTTCCAAAGATGCAGACGAACCTCGAGTTTTAAATACACATTGCAACCCAACTTTCTTGATATGTAATTGGACCTTATGAGAGGGGTTTCGTTCCAAAGGGGAGCAGGCATTGGGTCCACCGAGACGTGGACAAAGTGCATTCTCATGACTCATCTGCCGGTATGTCGGACCGGCTCATCATCAACCCTGAAAAATTGTTCATTGAGAGTGTACTTAATTTTCAAGACCTACCATATATTTGGCATGCTGATCGGTGGAATCAGTTTGCACACAATCGTCAGAAATAATATTCAAAGCTCTGCACCTAGTCACATTATGTGTCTTGACATACGGATTTTCCTCGGAGATGAGGCCGTGAGACTCAGGCCTGAGGTACTTGTACAAGGTTCTCTGAGTCAAGATAAAAATCCCATTCTTCCTTTCCCAAATATGAAGTTTAACGACGGATTTTGGCTACTGAAGAGCGGTGTCAAACCATACTTTGGACTTCAGGTTGTCGACGTTCAGCCGACTTCAGATGGTCTGGGATATGACCTCCATGTTGCGACTAAGCCCATCAAGCACAGAGGAGACACGCTAGCAGGTCAGCTTTAGTATCATTATTAGGCTAGTAAAATATGAATAATATTTCTCCAGGTCCGGTCTTCACCGTCAATGTTCATTCACCGACAGAAGGCGTAGTTGGCGTGAAGATCGATCACTTCAGTACTATCAATTCTACCACCAATATTCCTCTATTCCCCGATATCTCCCCCATCCCCAAAGCCACACTTGATAAAGCAGACCAGTCCTTCTCTCTTTCGAGTGGTGGGCTTACCGCGGTAGTCACCAAAAATCCATACACTGTCACCTTCAAATCTCAGTGTCGCACATTGACCTCGTCGGGTTACAAGTATTTGGCGATTTATGACATCCCTTCGAAGTGGACCCTCAACACGGCTGCGAATAGCTCGTGCCTGATGACTGATTATAGCTCCAATCCAAATCCCGAGCCCAAACCTGACATCGTGAGATATCTCCACACGGAACTGAACATTTCGCCTGGAGAACTGGTGTATGGATTTGGTGAACAATTTGGCGCTTTCGTCAAGAATGGCAAGTACTTGCTATATTATTTTTCCACTTCCTCCGTCAACAGTTTGTGGCAGGCCAATCCATCAAGATTTGGAATCAAGGTCAGAGTCTAAATCGTCCTTGTTCTTGAAAATGCAATGCGGCTCATCCATCACATCTCGACAGATGGTGGAACCTCTAGTGATCAGGCCTACAAGTCTGTTCCGTTCTACGTAACCAACAGAAACTATGGCATATTCATCAACAACCCCGGTGAAGTTGAAGTTGAAGTAGGGAGTGAGAAAGTTTCGCGGGTCGGAATCTCTGTCGCAAGCAGCGATTTGGAGTTCTTCGTCATATACGGGGAGACTCCATTGGAAGTTAGTGTCTTTCTGCTTTGTTAGAACCTCTCAACAATGCATGATCGCAGATTTTGGAACGATACACTAGGATGACTGGACGTCCTGCGTAGGCTTCCGAAAGTGTCGTAATATTTCTGTCCTGAACTTGCCCTGGTTTCTAGAATCCTCCCCAGCTGGACTTTCGGCCTCTGGCTTTCCACATCATTTTTGACATCATACTCCAGCAAAACAGTCTCTGGTTTCCTTCAAGGGATGCGGGAACGTCAATGCCCCGTCAGAGTGTTCCATTTAGACTGTTTCTGGATGAAGCAATATGAGTGGTAGGCTTTCGTACATTTTGAATACCCGTCCGTCCTAAGGAATACTTAGGTGCTCATTCACCTTTGACCCCGATAATTTTCCCGACCCTAAGGCGTACCTTTCTGAGATCAAACATAAATACGGGGTGAAGATATGTCTCTGGAGTATGTTCATCACTACAATGTAAATGGCGCCAACTGATTCTCATTCTTATAGTCAATCCATACATCTCTCAACTCTCCCCAATCTTTCAGGAGGGCGTTCAAGGCGGGTTTTTCATCAAACGAAAAGATGGGACACCTTGGCAGCAAGCATCATGATCCACTCTACTTATACAACTGATAGAAACTACCTCGTATAGATGGGACCTTTGGCAGCCTGGTAAGCTCTACTTAGTTCTATGCTGCTGAGTGCACTGAGTCGGAGATATTAGGGCTTGCCGTTGTAGACTTCACAAATCCGGCGGCAGGGGACTGGTACAAAGGAAAGCTTGAGGCATTACTTGATCTTGGTGTCGACTGTTTCAAAGTTGGTTTTTTGCAACTTCTCAACCTCACGATACTAATGACTCTGGTAGACCGACTTTGGTAAACAAAACTCTCAAGGCACATCGATCTTTGACCACTTATACTTTCCTAGGCGAACGCATTCCTTATGCCTCCATTATCTACCATGATGGATCTGATCCCATGAGAACGCACAACATGTATTCCATTATCTATAACGAACTTGTTTTCAATATTCTGAAAGAGCGATTTGGAGAGGGAGAAGCGGTGCTATTTGCTAGAGCATCGTTTGCAGGAGGGCAGCGGTTGGTCCTTACAATCCTACGTGCTACTTTCCATTGACATAGTACCTTGACAGTTTCCCTGTGCATTGGGGTGGCGACTGTGAGTCATCTTACGAGGCCATGGCGGAAACCATCCGGGGATGTCTATCTCTGACACTGTCCGGCTTTGCTTTTGCTTCTCATGATATTGGAGGTTTCGAGGTAAGGCCGAGATTAACCGCTAGATTTGACATTGGCTCATCGATCACAGGGACATCCCCCGGCTGAGTTATATCAACGATGGGTTGCGTTTGGGTTGTTCTCTTCCCATTCCCGACTGCATGGGTCCTCATCATATCGTGTGCCATGGAGCTACGGTGAAGCTGCTGCTAAAAGTATGTCGCGGTTCTTGGATGCGAAGCACCAGTTAATGCCTTACCTATATGACTTGGTATGGAAATTATTCAAATCATGGTGTCGTCTTCATAACACGGTTATTCCCATAGGCTATTCAAGCTCATGTCAAAGGCCACCCGATGCAACGGGCCATGTTCATGGAATTTCCGGACGATCCTACGACGCAATGGCTGGACCGCCAGTACATGCTCGGTCCTTCCCTCTTGGTTGCTCCTGTGTTTGTCCCGGTTGAGGAGGAATCAGTCTATTACGTTCCTGCGGGCCGTTGGACATATTATTGGGACCAGTTTAGGACCATCCAGGGGCCACTTTGGGTACGGGAACTTGTTCCCCTCGACGAGATACCGCTGTGGATTCGTCCCGGTACTATTCTTGCCACCGGCCCTAAGGGGATTGGTCGGCCCGATTATAACTACACGCAATGTATTAGTGTCAACGTGTATGAGCTGCTTGAAGGGCAGACTTTGCAAGCCAGTTTGCCCGCTCAGCACGGCACCCAAGCAGCAGCCATTATTACTGCCGAGAGGACGAGTACAGGCCTTCGCTTTGAGGTACAAGAGGGAGAATGCGACATTGCGCTCCTGGGAATACACGAAGAAGGAGCGACTGTCAAGAGTGTGGTAGGGGGAGCAAAAATAGAGGAGCGTAGCAATTTCGTAGGGCTGAAGTTGGACGGACAACCGAAAGAAGTCATATGCATCATGTAACCTTGAAATATGAAATGTTGGCATATGAACAAGTGCAGCCAGAGATCATATATTCATATACGACGTATAGCATGTATGTGAATAGCGCAGAACAAGAGATTTCAGATTTCATCATCGTAGAATTCCTTCATGCTCTGCTCTCTCTTGGCTTGACGAACTTTCGCCTGTTCTCTATTGCTAGCCGTACGTGCAACCCGCTGGAAGGACAGTTACTAAAAACGAAGGTGAGAACAAAACCAGTCAATTTGCGCACCTCTTTACGGAGACACGCATTCAATTCATCTGCTTCCCTATTACAATAACCAGACATCCTTGCGATAAAGCTCGAATGACACTGCTCGAGGGCCTGGATGAAGTCCTTACAGACTACCACAGAATGAATGAATTCGCTCAAGGTGAAAAGGAAGACGCGAACTTATTTTCCTATCCGATAATTGAGGGTGCATTGTTAACCGGTATTTTGAATAGTTTCAGAGAGCTTTGCCGGCAGTTGCCGAGGGAGGCAGGAGAATCCGGGTACATAAATGGCCGCTACAAGAAGCCGAAAAGCCGTGGAAGGCGATAAATTCGTGTAAATCCGCTCGAAATAATGGATAGATGAGAGGATATTTTTGGCGGCAAATAGGCTAGTTTGGAAAAGAGTACGTAGTAAATTACCGAACCTCGGGTCAGCCAATATTAATATTATTTGTCACTACGATCCCCATTTTTCTCCTGTACCACAATGACCTTCGTCCCCAGCCAGTTTGACGACGTGTCCATCGCTACCATCCGTACCCTTTCAGCGGATGTTGTTGGCAAGGCCAACTCTGGGCATCCTGGTACGCCTTCACCGTTCTTCTTAGTTGCCAGCTCTTCACTTGTCGCGCAGGTGCTCCTATGGGCATGGCTCCCGTAGCCCACGTCTTGTTCTCTCGGTGCGTAGAGTACACGCAGTTGATCTTCGTCTATTTGATTCAAATCCAGCTTCTTCAATGCTAATCCCAAGGACTCCAAGTGGTTCAATCGCGATCGATTCGTGTTGTCAAATGGGTTAGTACCTTCGTCGCTGTTAGATACTTTACTGATCGCGTATCCGTAGTCATGCGTGAGTAGATACCTTTATCCTCCAGAGTCTAATGATCCTACGAACTCATTAGATGTGCTCTCCAATATATCCTTCTGCATCTGATGGGCTACAAGCTGTCGATGGACGATCTCAAAGCATTCCGACAGCTTGATTCGCTGACGCCCGGTCATCCGGAGGCTGGCCACACCGACGGTATGCCATGCTTCCTGTTACATATACAAGCCATACTTATTGTTTTTGCCAGGTATTGAGGTAACTACCGGACCTCTTGGTCAGGGTTTCGGAAATGGTGTGGGTTTAGCAATCGCTCAGGCCCATCTTGCTGCTGTGTACAACAAGGATGGTTTCGACTTGATCAACAACTACACCTATGGCACGTCACTCTACGCTGAGGACGGAAACTAATCTCACCGTTAAATAGTATTCTGTGGCGACGGCTGCTTGATGGAAGGTGTTGCCAGTGAAGCTGCCAGTCTCGCCGGTCATCTCCAGCTTGGAAATCTGATTGTAGTGAGTGTTGGTCTTTTTCTTCATTCCCTTTCGCCTCATCGCGCTCGTTACCAGATTTATGATGACAACCGTATGCATGCTAATTTCTAAATCTCATGACGTATTCAATCCTGATCATTAGATATCTCCATTGATGGTGACACTGCGGTCGCCTTCACTGAAAACGTGGAACAGCGATTCCTTTCATACGGATGGCAGGTGTTGCACGTCGACAATGGTGACAGGTGAGTATTAACCGCTCTATACAGCTGGATTTGTCCTGACTGTAATGCAGCGACTTGGCTGGAATCTACAACTCCATTGCTGAAGCGCGTCAAGAAAAGAACAAGCCCACGATCATCAAACTGAAGACGACCATCGGATTCGGCTCCAAGGTTCAGGGCACACATGGTGTTCATGGATCACGTACGTTATTCTGGTTACTGCACTTTTTTAACCTCACACGTTCCCCAGCCCTCAAGGCTGATGACATTGTCTCTTTGAAGACGAAGTTCGGCTTCCCCTCTGATCAAACCTTCTACGTCCCTCAGGAGACATACTTTGCCTACGAAGAAGTCGCGAAGCGAGGCGCGGCTCTGCAACAAAATTGGAATTCCTCCCTTGCTAACTACGGCCAGCAGTACCCGAAAGAATATGCCGAGCTTACCAGACGTATTGAGGGCAGGCTCCCCGAAGGCTGGGAGACGAGCTTGCCTGTGTATCAACCCACTGACGCTGCACAGGCCTCTCGTAAACTCTCCGAAATCGTCCTTACCGCCATTACACCCTCTTTCCCTGACCTCCTCGGTGGATCTGCAGATCTCACCGGAAGCAACTTGACCAAGGTTAAGGGTACTGTTGATTTCCAACCACCCAGCACTGGTCTGGGTTCCTATGCCGGTACGTATATTCGTTACGGCGTTCGGGAGCATGGCATGGGTGCCATCGCGAACGGACTGGCGGCATATGGTGGCATTGTTCCTTTTGTTGCGACTTTCTTGGTGAGTTATAACGGACGCGTCTCATGTCCGCCTAACTGTCACACCTCTTAGAACTTTGTTTCTTACGCCGCCGGTGCGGTTAGGCTGTCTGCTTTGAGTGGGCACCGTGTTATCTGGGTTGGTACGTACTTTACATACGTTTCACGTGTGCATTCTTTATTCACTATTTGTAGCTACCCACGATTCCATTGGTCTCGGTGAAGACGGGCCTACCCATCAGCCGATTGAGACTGCCATTCACTTCAGAGCGACCCCCAACTTGGCATTCTGGAGACCTGCAGATGGAAATGAGACTTCAGCAGCCTACTATGTTGCTATTACATCCAAATCGACACCTTCAATCTTGTCTCTATCTCGTCAGAACCTTCCCAACCTTGCGAGTTCGACCATTGAGAAGGCCGTGCGTGGAGGTTATGTCGTTCAGGAGGAGAGCAATGAAGCCCTCACTATCGTCAGCTCTGGTAGTGAAGTCACTATTGCGTTGGATGCTGCCGCAAAGCTTGGCGCTGAGGGTATCAAAACCCGGGTTGTCAGCTTGCCATGCTGGCTTGTCTTTGATCAACAGCCCGAGGAATATAGACTGAGTGTCTTGAGGAGCGGTGCTCCCATTCTCTCTCTCGAAGCGCTCTCGGTAAGTTTGTCACCCTCTACATCAACGCCATGCTAAATAATCCGTGAAGACTGCTGGATGGCAGAAATACAGTCATGAGGTATGACCTTCGTTATTCTCTGGTGACCTACAGAGTTGAATGGCATGTTTTTTTTTTTTTAGCAATACGGCCTGCCAGGGTGGGGTGCTTCTGGTCCTTACCAGAAAGTGTACGAGAAGTTTGGTATCACTGGATCCAGTGAGTTTACGGCCGCGTCCGTTATATACAACGGAGTCTAACTATTTGCCAGACATTGCTTCTGTTGGCAAGAAAGTAGTCGAGTTTTACAAGCAGAAAGGTGGTGAAGTTGTTTCGCCCCTCGTTAGAGCTTTCACATTGTAATGCGTAGGGAGTGATGAGAAGTTTGCTTATCTTAGATAGGACCTGTAGAAATAAAGAATAGATGCAATTCCTGAGGTGGACATTGAAGTATATAAGTCTATCATGACTATTTCCTTGTGACAGCAAGATGATCCCAGTAGGCTCTCTCCTTGTCCTCTTTTACAACCTCTTCGACGTGCGGGGCGAGGTAGCGAACATCCTGTGATACCGACGTGAATTAAGACGTTGAGGGGAAGTTTGAAGAGACACACCTCCTCAGTTGACGTCCATTCTTCCTTGGGAAGTGGCCTGTGCAAAACGCTGGTGTGAGAAGCACGCTTGATACGGAAAGCACGGTCATTTTGCTCGCGAGGTGTCAGGCGACCAAGGGCCTGAAGAAGGAAAGTTCGAATTCATTTTTGCCCTATACTAAGGCAATACAGCACATACACGTTGGACGTCCTCACGCTCCTCAATCACTAGGCAACATTAGTATAGAGCAGGAGTAAATAAACTTGAGACGCACAGAGATCGTCGTATTTGAAGCCGTACTTCTTGTACCCAGCAGTTTCGTTGTACCAAGAAGCAAAGGGCGTGAGCCATTTGGAGAGCATCTTGGATGACCTGACATACGGCGCCAGCGAAAAACTCAGTGGGCCAAGCATGATGATGAGTGAAATACGTGAAAGAAAGCAGACGGCCAAACTCGGGTACTATTTGTATTTATTTATATGTGGCGTAGGATCGATAGCATAAAAGGGAATCGACTTTACAGCTTGCCATCTTGACTGTTCCCAATATCCTTTTAATTCAATCATGTCTACCCAAGAACGCACCTATATCATGATCAAGGCGAGCCTCTGTTGTTGCCGTGGCCGCCGTTGCACTGTCGCAGTACTCATCTTCTGTGGATCTAGCCGGATGGCGTGCAGCGCAACCTGATCGGCAAGATCATCGCGCGATTTGAGGAGCGTGGATACAAGCTTATTGCCCTCAAGCTCGTCCACGCTACGCCTGAGCATCTTGAGAAACGTATGGCGCGTCCATCTCGACTGCCTCTCTGTATATCTTAAACGTCTTTTTCCAAGATTATGCCGACCTCAAGGGCAAGGCGTTCTTCCCTGGTCTCATCAAGTATATGGCCTCTGGGCCCGTTGTTGCTATGGTGTGGCAGGGTCTGGATGCTGTCAAGACTGGCCGTGTCATGCTTGGTGCTACCAACCCCTTGCAGTCCCCAGTCGGTGCGTCGCGCCACTTTTCCAATTTCGTTATCCAACTTTAACATGTATCCAGGTTCCATTCGTGGTGACTATTGTCTTGCCGTTGGCCGTAACATCTGCCATGGATCCGACTCTGTTGAGAGTGCCGAAAAAGAAATTGCTCTGTGCGTCTGATTGTTCAATTTCAATGCGATCGATCCTTACTGATGTGGCTTTTCAATCTTAGCTGGTTCCCTGAGGGCGTTGTTCAATACACCCATATCCAGGAGCCTTGGGTCCTCGAAGACAACTAGAATAACCTGTTTATTAGACGTTCTGGGATTCATCATAGCTAGTTAACAAAATAACAGGATTTAACGGACAACATTCAAGTGAACCATTCATTTTACCAAGCGTGGTGACCACCATCGACAAGAATGCTATGAACGTTTTGTCAAACATGACAAAGGAAAAAGGAAGAAATTTCACGTACTCGCTACCTGTACAGAATGTGGAGGCATCACTGGCGAGCCAAGTGATGACACCTCGTAACTCGTCAGGTCTTCCGATCCTTCCCATTGGATTCAAGTTCGACCATTTATCCAGTAGCGTAGGGTGCTTGTCCAGGTATTGCCTCGTCAACCTGCACGAGTACGATGGGTAGCGCCGCCAACGTGTGCTATGAATGCACTCACGCGGTGAAGATATGTCCAGGGGAAAGCGAGTTAACCCGAATGCCTTCTTTTCCGAGCTCGCAAGCCATGCTCCGAGCCATCTGTAGGCAGGCGGATTTGCTGGTGTTGTACGACACCCAAGAATGTCCCTGAAGATAGAAAATCAAGACAACCCACGGAAGCGAAAAGAGAAAAAATTACGCGATTTGTCAACGTTCCGCTCATCGAGGCGACCAAGACTATACTGCCCGGTATGCCGAAGCGTCTCATTTGGCGACCAGCAGCTTGGGCGGTGAAGAGTACGCCATTCGTGTTCACGTCCATGACCTGGAATCCCAATCGTTGGTCTTGTCGGTTCATATATTTCAAGGAACTTACTTTTCGGAACTCATCCTCAGGATACTCCAGGCAGTCGATATGGTTCATAAGAATGCCTGCAGCAGCGACACAGATGTCGACTCGTTTCTCCTTGTTCCCAATCTCTTCGACGGCCGTCCAGACGCGATTCTGATTGGTGACATCGCAGGAAACGTACTCGAGTCGGGATCCGCGATCCATCCTGGCAACGAAGTCATGCGCAGCCTGCCACTCTGCACAACCCTGTTTTGGAAGGTCAAGACAGTATACAGCGCGAGCTCCAGCTTCGCAGAGCGCCATTGCCATCTCCAGGCCCAGCCCGCGATTACCACCAGATACAATGGCGACCCTATCCGCTAAAGTAAATTCGTCGAAGATTTTAGGGCGCACATATATCGAGGGATCCGTAACTGCTCGTATAGCTGCATCTACGCCTATAGGTGCTAATGGGGAGACTGATTGCACAGGATAGCTTTCGCGAAACAATCTGGATGTAGAAAATGAGGCAGAGCCCAGTCGAGATGCTACCGTGCGAGAAAATACGGTGCGTTGCAGTCTGAGGGCTCTGGGGATGGAAGTCATTCGCATTTGGAGGGAATAGAGTTGTCCGGTCTAACATGGACGCAAGATTTATACCGAGCACTTATTTATTTGTCCCGACGGGTGGTGCACCTGACCGACCATTGATCGGGGAGGAAAAAGCACAAGACTAGGACCAAACGTACGGTAATTGTCAAGCACGCCAAGCGGCGTCGCAGGTACATATATCGTAGTTGGTTGCTTGAAGGGGGTGTCGTCGTGTGACTGAGATCCGAAATCATTCATTCAACCATCCACTGTGGTCCAAACCCGTAGTATATCTTCATTGGCCTCTAGCGCCGTGATCAGCTGTTCCAGACCGGATGCAATCTCTTCTGAAGGGTCGATTCTTTCCAAGGGACTGTATACAAGCTCGCTTGCCAAGAGTTCGCGGCATTTACCCGGGGATGTAACTGCGCCCGTTAGTCGGGATAGCGCGACGGGATCACAGGTGAACTGGATGGAAGAGGTCAGCAGATGGCAGTTGAGAAAAGTGCGGGATAGATACCGTTAATTCGATGGTACTACCATCTTCCCCAGCTGATTCTTCAAAGTCCAGCGCGCCCTCATCCAAGGCAAGCTCGACCAGCTTTTCTATGGCATCCTGCAACGCCGGACCGCGATCTATGGCCACCCTGACGATGCCTTTGCGTTGGAACATAAAGCCGACCGGTGCTATGTGTGAGCTGACGAGAGGTCATGAGCATAATATAAAAGGCCGGTAGAAGGGACAAAAACCGACCTGTTCGCATGCAGTATCTCCCGTACTACTTGCACCGTGCGCGTCGTGTTGTCGCTGAGACATTCACTTTTCCGCCGTTCAGCGCCGACCGCTCGCCAGATCATACAATACGCACATGATAACGCCCACAGAGCCAAAGGCCAGAGCTTCATAAGTGATAGCGTCCCCTCCCTTGTCCTTGCCTCTCGACGCCTCGGAGACGGATGTAAGGACGTGCTGCTGAAGTCAAGATAAAAGGTGCTCACCCTCGCTAGAGTCCTCTCAATATTATCTTTCGGGACATCTAATTCCTTCAGCCGTCGCAGAGTGACAGCAAGAGTCAGATTCTTTTCGGGATCGGTTGACCCACCAGCTAGAGACTGTCAGCCTACGATGGGAGCACCAAGAGACGTTCACAGACTTCTAACAGCTACCAAGATGTCCTAGTAGATGAATTTAATGAACAAGAAGGCAGCCAATATGAAAAATGCGTACGCGTTGGGCCCGACTAATTGTAGCGCTTTTCGATGCATCGTTTACGCCCTTCTTCCGCTTGATCTTCGACCACTACAAAGGTCATCAAACCTGACACAAGCAAGAAATACCGACAGCTTTACTTTGTTGTGGCCAGCAAGGCTCACTTTTGAAGCTGAAAATCGACGACATGGTACAACTCGAGGAAGGCGAAGCATGTGCAAGAAAAAGAAAACAACCCTTTGCATTTCAAAATCAGATCACTTTGCACAAAAATTTCTCACACGGAATTACAAGTACAGGTGTGTATACAAGTACATTGCGACATTCATTACAGTTCTACAATGATTATAAGATGAAAGACAGACAGTTACTTGTTTACGACGCTGCATCTTCTGCTGCCCGGACGGCGGCTGCAAGGTCGAAGTGGAAGAATGGGGTCTCTACGGGTAACAGCGAAGCAAAGCCAGCTGGGACTTCCTGAGTCGAAGGACGAGCCAAGTGCTTCCAATGTCCACTTTCTATATCTTTTGGACGTTCGTCGCATGATTCCGAAATATTTCTATCCCTCTGGCCATCTCGATAGGGAACGACCACCGCGATCTCCTGGGGCACCTTGAACGATGGTGATCCCACTCCAAAACCGCCCGCAACAAGGGCTCGACGTATCCAGGGAGAGAGAATTGTGGCAAAGTGGAACTAGGGCCATGTGAGCTCGGGTTTTTAGCAGGAGAAGAAAAGACGTACTTCCACGGAGCGATCCGCCCATCGTTCTATCTCGTTACGGGTGTCAATTAAGGACTGGACAGCAGTGGTGTCTATTTGTGAGCTGTATTCAATGTTGATATTAACGGCACATCACGAATAACGGAAAGATATAACTCACATGCCAGAAAAATCGAGGACGACGGCGCGGAGTAGGGGAAGGTTGCTGTTTGCTTCGTATTCCGCATTTGCACCCTGGCGAGGGCCAGGATCGTTCCACGCCCGGTCCTTGTGCTTGACTGCACTCATGTCTTTTCCTCGTCTAGTATTCTCCTTGACATAATCCACAAGAGCAGAATCTAACTGCGCGCAATTGGGATAAAGATAGCTTTCTTCAAAGCGGTATATGATAATGCCTGGAGAGGGAGGAACAACTTTGACCTGGGGATTGGTCACGCCGTCTTTTGTGAGGGGAACGAAGACCTCGCGAGCATCCTTGTCTTCGGAGGCTCCATCGTGCACCGTTACTTTTCCCAGGAAGTAGCCTCGTGGGTGAGCAACGCGGATGAGAAGAAGTACGAGAGAGGCACAGATGGATGCATAGATTCCGTTTTCAATAGACGAAAAGATTGTGATGATCACGGCTGCGAGCCAGATTATGAACTCCATGGGTGACACACACCAGTAAGAATAAATCTAATGTCGTAAGTACTCAAAACAGCAATGCCTTGGACATATTGAGAACCCACCTGCTTGGGAGAGGCTACCAAATCTGCAACAGCATGTATGATAACAGCAGACAGCCCTGCAGTCGGGATCCAATAGAAAGCCGGTGTTACGCCGTATAATGCAACGATTACAACTGCAGCCGTGACAATACCCCCAGCAGGAGTCTTGACGCCAGATTTGGATTGCAAAGCAGAACGGGAGAACGAGCCTGTTGCGGGATAAGCGGCGAAGCATGACCCGACAGTGTTCGTGACTCCGATGGCTATCAGCTCCTGGTTGGGGTTAATTTTATAACCATTCAATCGTCCAAAAGCTTCAAATGACCATATTAATACCGGTGACCAGAGTAATGTTCATTCATACTCACACTTCGCAATCGCAATGTGTTCCAGTAATAGAATGATGACTGCGATAGGAAGTTGCCCCGCCAGAGCAGCGACAAGCTTGGGGTCAATGACTGGCTGACCGACGTGCCGAAGACCGCCTGGTACGTCCTTTAAGATTTTAATGGGATAGCTGCCACTGGCGCTTTGTCGATGCCTCGTATACAACCACGCTGCAACCGTCAAAACCAGGATGACGAAAACGTTCCTGAACACAGAGACGAAGAACAGTATGCGTGCTCTGCGAGGGAAGCGCTTCGCGAGACGATCGCATGAGAAGCGGATAATATACAACGCGATAAGCCCAGAAAGTCCCCATGCGGCATCGAGTTTCGTTCTTGGAAGCCCTTTCAGAGTGTTGATGATCACTTCGTACGTTGCGGCTCGGGTGCTAAAAGAATTGAGGTTCAGCGATGAGGACAATCAGGAAGACGGAATGGCATACGTACTCGAAACCAGAAATACCCATCAGGCCGGGGACCTGACCAGAGACGATACTAATAGCGGATCCAGTCATGAACGCACTTACAGCAGGCGCCGGTATGAACTCAACAAGCCACCCCAGCCGCAAAAGGCCGATGCCTAGAACAATGAAGCCGGCAATAAATGCGACTGTGGTGGCAATCTGCGGACCCTCCCATCTACCAGGATATGCGTCGTCGACGTGCTTGATGATTTGGGACACGGTCAAAGACATGACAGCCACTGGGCCGATGGATACATCTTTGGACGTCGCGAAAACCTAAACGGAGAGTTAGAAGAAATGTCCAGATAGGCGAAAGAAGAGGGCCGTACACAGTATAACAAAACGCCAACGAAAGAAGAGTACAGTCCGTATTCCGGACTTAGGGTAGCAATCTACGGATCAAGGCATCATACACTGTCAGATGTTGAACAGGCGCTGTATGTGGACAGAGTCACCTGAGCGTAGGACATGCTTTGTGGGACGAGAACGATGCCCACCGTCAGACCAGCAATAACGTCGCCTGTCAGCCATCCCAAATCTATTTCTCCTGTTCAGGCGATAGAGTATTCGACCAAGCTTGGAACCGTAGCTCACTATATCTGGTTATCCACCCAAATATTGGGAACAGGCTGGCGACATACTCCAGAATCTGTAAACGGATAGTTTCAGCACGTGCAGCACGCTGAAGAACGGATACCGACGCGTCGAATAGGATCCTGCGTAGCCTGGAGTACATAGTCACCCGCCGAAATGACGGGGACAATCTCCTCGGGATATCCAATGAGTTGCTTGCCCAGTCTTTTCGCTGTACTAGCCATGGTGCCAAGATGTTACATGTACTGGAGCGCCCTTATATACGCATACATATTGGATAACGTTCCTGCCCCAGTGAGATACCTTCTGTCCGAGGAAACGTACATGCGGTGGAGGACAGACCCGTTAGATTCGGTAAAGCTGGAAAAAGAAATAGATACGCACGAAGCCTCGAACATGTTGCAATAGAAAGATGCGATAAAGGGAATGTCGCGCTGAGGGATCACGAACGCCGTTAGTAAAGCACGTTTGGCAGCATGTTGTAGTTCGGGAATCGCGACGCTGGTGTGATCACAGCGAAGAAGCACGCGATGTGCAGTTTGAATGGCATAATTCGTTGCAATTCATCTGCCAAAGGCCACATGGAATCCGGAAAAAATGGGCTGCGACTCATGCCTACTGATACCATCCACCCTTAACAAAGTCCTACACGGACGAAGAACCCTTGACAGTGATGTATCTGCAGTTCACGGAGAGTTGACATTTACCGCAGTCTCCCATCAACCATCGCAGTCAATGTTCTTGTCAAGTATGTAACTAAATTTTGAGTAAAAATCAGTAAATATAGCGTACCCAATCTAAATTGGCTGAATTTTACAGCAGCAGTCCTTTGTTGTACAGATATATAAAGCCAAGCAGAGAAAGAGAAGTAAGAATAACAACCCCTGGTAGGAATCTCCACAACACCTGTGGCTTGTTTTGGTCAGAACGAGTGAAAAACTATACAATGTTGCAGGCTGGGTATCGTTGGAAAAAGACAGCGCGAAAAGAACCAATTGGACACTGACCACACAGCGTAACATGAAAACTTTGGCAGTGGAAAATGAGCGTCATAGATAGCATGGTAGGAGTGGGGAAAGGAGCGGCGTCATGAAAAGTCGTGACAGTTTTAAGAGTGGAAAGCGCCCATGTTTTGTGGGTTCTGAGGGTAATTTTGATACATGTATGCTTGATAGAGCTGAGGAGGCATGGTCTGTGCCGGAGGGACATTATAAGCAGGCTGACCCATCCCTATCATGGCCCCGCCTTGGCCACCAAGGTTGGGGGAATGTGCACCATAGGTTGACGCCATACCGTTGCTCCCGCGCTGTAGTCCAGCTCGAGGATTCATATCGTTCATGTCTGGCGACCGCATCCCGAAAGGATTGAAAGGGTCGGCGGATGAAGAAAAGGTGTTAGAGGAGCTGGGGACACGGCGCAATCCCGGAGAGTTGGAATTGCCGTAACCAGGATCGACATGGAGCTGTTGAGGGCCCGCCTGAGAATTTTGGCCACCCATCTGCAGCGCTGCCATCATAGATGCCAACCCTTGATCGTTGGACGGATACCCAGATGGAAGTCCTGTCATTCCGAATTGACTCTGCGTAGCACTTTTTGGTTTCCCTGACGGAGGCCCGCTGCTCGTGTATGTGGGCTGGAAATTCGGAATTGGCAGACCAACCTCTTCAATCAGCCTCCTATACGCCTGAGTCGCAATGACTTTCAGCTCGATCAAGACACGCTTCGTAGCTTCGATGCATTCGTACTTCTCCAAATGATCAATGAAGGGACTGGTGATAATTTTGTGAACGACCGCAACCCCATTGACCTGATCGCCGAGTACATCCGTAAGGACGTGGTCACCCGGAGAAGAAAAAAGAGCTTCTACAATCTGTCTAGATGCGTCGGGCTCGATCTTTTGGTTAACAATTCTCAGTACCGTTAGAGATGCAAGTTTGTGGGTGCACAAGTGAGACAGATGAGGGGTAAAGCGAGGAGCAAGGAGGTTGTATCTGGACGGGAAACCAGAGGTATCCAGAAGCCAAGTGAGCAATAATGCACCGTTGGGGTTCGTAGCCAGAGGAATCGAATTGAGGATGATAGCGGTGGCAATCCGGCGCTGCTGGCTCAAAGTGATATGAGGGCTTTCCAAGCATGCTCGGATGCTACGAGCTCCGAAGCGTCCTTGTGCAACTTCCCACATACGGTCCACAATAGCGTCGAAAATAAAGTCGTTAGCGGGGGCGCCGAACCGCAGACAGCATCTGATCGTTTGATCGGTCAAAAAGAAAAACCTGTTCTAGATGACAGAAACTCACTGAACGACATAATTCCCAAACTGATCAAGAAGGAGTGGAGGGGCATAGGCCCTCAAGTTTTGGGCAATTAAGGCAATCTCTTCGGGTGTTTGAACGCATTCAATGATCTTTTGCGCCGCCCAAGTTCCATTCTTATGAATTCCAATCATAGCAAGATTCGGCGTGATACGTTCGAGCATAGAAAAGCGGGGTACGGGAGAACATCTTTCGAAAAGCTTCTGGACCACCTGTTTCGAGTGTGAGATGGATATAGCCATCAAAAGTCCGACACGTACCGTGTTACCCAGCCAGTCCGAGGCAAGGTCCACAATCTCGCCATCAAGGAAATCAGTAGCTACGGCATCTATCTCTTCAGTGCCCATGGTGCCCGAATCCAGACGTTTACGCAGCTCGCGTAGTTTGGACGCGTCCCACCGTCTATTGCTGGTTCGTTCCGACACCAAGGGGAGTGTCGTATAATACATCGTTGGCGGCCGAAATTCTGTGACATGGTTAACATATGATAATATTTGGTTTCAAGAACGAGATCATTACCAGCAAGTGCTTGAATATCAGCCTCCGCGTCATTACTACCGGCACTGAGCTCCATCATGATCATCTGCTGTTCAGTTACTATTGATGTCCAGCCTGCAGGTTTTGGTAGGCCATCAGACATGTAGGCAGCCGTATGCGAGCCTGTGCCGATCATGCTGAGTAAAAGATTTGATCTGTAATTCTCGACAGCGCCGCTCAGAACTTGCTGGTCGGCAGGAATCGTGGAGGCGCCTTTCACCATGCGAAGGGCTTGAATGGTCGCGTTGACACTGAGATCACCAACACCTTGAACGGTGACACAACCATTGTCATCCGGCCCAGCACCCTCTTGCCCATTCTTGACAGGAACCTTAGCAAATCCGATACGAATGGCACCGACGTCACTGCCCAACACATCACGACCATTCAAAGCTTTTCTGGCGCGTACCGCATCATCCAGTCGCTCGAAATTGACTATAGAGATAATTTCAGTCTTGGCACGCCTTGACGTAGACCTTAAACTCACTGAATCCACAGTTCTTGTGGGTCAAAACTCTGGCGGATTCAATGGGACCATACGGACTGAAAACACTAAGAATTATCGCCGGCGTGGTAGTCGATGGGATAGAACCAATCCACAAAGCTCTCGTGGGAGTAGACTGTAGCTGAGCATCCATACCACCCATGGAGGTATTTGCACTGGTGGATTTTGCGGCGCCTCCCGGAGAAGTAGGTCCCGGACTGGCGGGGGTACCCTTTGCCGGAGCAACAGGTGCACTTTCAGCCTTTCCGAATCCAATACGCACGGTCTGACCATTTTGCATGCCAATATTTCCACCAAGACGGTTGAGAACATCTTCTTTGGCACGAATGGCATCAGCCTGGTCCACAAAGTTAACAAATCCACATTCCTGAGGTAAATGTTAGATCGGCTATTGAAAATAAACGATTAGACAAACCTTCTCCGGAAGCAGCCTGAGACTCTCTATGGCACCATAAGGAGCAAAGACATGAATGAGCTGCTCACTTGTCACAGCACTGTCCAGGTTGCCGATCCAGAGAGAACGTGTAGGTGTTTGGATTTGTGACGACGGAGCCTCCGATTTGGGCGAAACGGATCGATTTTGTGCACCAGGGGCAAGTAGATACGCTGAAGCGCGACTGGGTGGCGCTTCACCCCCGTTTGGGAAATGAACAGATGGTCCGACTCGAGAAGCCATGTTCTTGTCGGCTTTCAAGATGCTAGTCGGATTTCCGACGTTGCTGGACACCACGGACAGTCCTGAACTCTGATGGGTAAGCTCATTAATGTAGGACTGGGCGTCTACTACACCCGCACGTCGTTGGAGAGAAAGGAGTGGGTCTTCAAGTGTACCCACAGATATTGCTCGTGGTCTGGTGGGAGCTGCAAGATGATCCGTCTGCTTAAAACCTTTGGCAACGTAAGATGCTGAGTAAGAGCCATCAGCACCTTGCGAATCGTAAGGCGTGAGAGGCGGGCGGTTGAATGCCTGTTCATCATAACTGTCCAGGTATTCCTCTTCCTCTGTTGCCGAAGGAGTGGTCAAAAGAGAGCCTGCAAGCGATGGTCTTGAACGATAAGGATTCGAGACGGTACTCGCTCGTAGCCGAGAGGGATGGCCAGCAAGGTTACCAGCAATTGCAGCTTGAGCCTGATGACGCAACTCAGACATTGTAGCAGCTGGAGGAGGACGGTGGCCATCATCCAAACCCAAATAGTCCAGAGTATGCACATCAAAGTCATCAGCACCTGAGTCTGCAGAGGTGACAGAACGCAACTCGTCTAACACTGGAAAACCATTGCCGTTGGCCGATGACAGCCACGACGAGGAAAATAGAGACGGTCCAAACGCGTTCTGAAGACCACCCGATGGGAGTGTGAGCGACTCTGAACGAAGACGGCTGCTCGTTGGGACGCCAGTTGCGACAGACGCGGAGTGTCGCAGACCTGGACGGGCAGGGACCATATTAGTGGGAGTGGCAGGAAGTTGGCGCTGAGGCTGAGGCTGAGGCTGGTCGACAAGTGATTCACTGGAAGCAGGCAGACTGCTTAGAGAATTGGAGGCTGCGGCAAAGCGCTGGGCGGCGAGTTGGACGTTAGAAGGTAGGGTTCCAGCCCTGGCCCTCCTAAAACCCTGGGGAAATGTCGTAGGAGGAGGCAAAGTGCCGCCATCCACTGGAGTCGTGATAGAGGGAGAAACCTCATTAGGAGGAGATCCACCTGAAGCAAGGGCACGCAGCGCGGGTGGCCTATACCTGCCCCCGGCCATTCTTTCCTCAGCTTCTCGTGCTCTACGCGACGAAATAAGATACTGGAAAGAAAAGAAGAGCAAACACGGACCGTTTAGCATAAGCAGCTGAAGGCGCTGGAGGTGGAGTCTTCCCAGAGGGAGGAGCCCTTGAATAGGAGCCGTTGCTGTCAGAGGCTGATAATGACATTATATGCTTTGAAGAACAATTAGGGATTACGAATGTATTGGGCAGACGCTTGCCAGTCTGTATAGAGGACCGTCAAGGAATAGAGCCAATTAGGTGGGAAAAGTCGTCCGAGTAAAGGTGAGGACGATTCCCCGTCGTGAAACCTCTCTTGGGTGGTAAACGTGAAAAATGGTGACGAAAACCGGATTTTTGGGGTCGAGAGAGAGACAGACAAGAGAAGCCCAGGACTACTATGATAGATGCCTCCAGAAAATAGTACTAAGTAATAGTAGTGAATGGTGGATGGGAGCAAAGAATCCACCGAACCTCTTTGCTCACGGTTCGAACTCCGCCGCCTTTCCCAGCTGCCACCGGAATCCGGCGGCATCATTGCATAATAGCCTCCGTGTACAGCAAGTAAGTAAGTACTGTACGCAAATTCGACTCTCTTTCACTGCTTCCAAGCTGTTACGAGGGTCCGTTCTGGCTCATGGAATGCTGTTTCAAGTGCCCAAACGGGAGGAATAGCTGAGACTCGGGATAGATATCTCTCCATGTGTTCCAGCATCTACAGCCAGGTCCCCGTTACAGAAAGATGGGCCTTCCATGGAACCACTGTGCTCCTTCCAGACCGATACACGGCCGGCGAGAACAGTATGTGCTGTGGAATACGACCTGTCTCCGAGATCACAGCGTCGCCGAGTTCTGAATTTATTTAAATTTCAGCGAAACATTCATGGCACTGACTCCGTAGCAAGCGGCTTATCTCCCAATCTACGTGCCATACTCTAATATTTACCAAGCATGGTGTACAATTGGACGATGGACAAGTCCATTAGGACGCGCGAAATCGTTGTGAGCACATGGATGGCTGTATTCATCCAAGAAGACAATCGATTATGATAACCTCGCAAAAAGGTGCGGACGAAGAAGCCGAGTCAAAACGATTCAATTTACAGTTAAAGTACAGTTCAAAGGCAGGTTTATTCCAATTGTCTATAAAACCCCATGGTCCTCCCTTCCAAGATAAAGCCAGAAAGACAAAGCCTTATAAGATACATGTAAGTAATATAACGGCGCTGACAACAGCGAGAACTACGATCCTCCCGAAAAAAACCGAGACAGAGCAAGGGCATAAGGGAGCATAGGAATCATAGGGCATATGAATGAGGGAAACGGGCGAACCTCGGCGTTATGTCGTACAAAACCTTACTATGCAAAAAATAAAGGGCTCTATGTGTACTTGTTGAGTATAAGAGGGGCTTGTCGTGGTAAGGTAAGAAGGCGCTCAAGAGACAACAGATTCGAGGTGAACAAGAGACGAAATATAGCTGATACAAATCTAATGCAATTGATTGGGAATTCAGAAGCGACACAATGTGGCAATGCGGAAACGTCAATTCAATAAAATTAATACGCAATGAAAACGAATGGAGGTGGTGGGAAGATAGAAACAAATATCAGGAGAGATTCCTGGATTCCCGTCTCCTTGAACGAGTCCGTGATGCTATAGCCGCTACTCTCTTTGAGCGGCGTAGTGGCCGAGTGTCAACATCTTTCGGCCGCTCCGGTTCTGGAGGTGGTTGAATTGAAGTCATCAGTAAATCACTACTGGTCTCCACCGGATCCTTCTCCCATTCCAGATTGACGCAAAGAGCATGGAACATTTCCTGCTCTGTTGCACTAAGCGGCTCATCATATCTGATCACAGCTCGAGGCTTTTGCTCATCGAGGACCGTGTCTAACGTGGGCAACGGTTTCTCCTCCAGTGCAACATTAAATTGGGTAGCAACTTCCCTTGCTTGTATCATGCTAACGAAACCTTTGCCAAACCCGGGTGGACGAGTTTTCCTACTGTGCTTCACAAACTCCCGAATAGCATCAGGGAACTGCTGATACAGGTTATCGCCGAGGAAAACATCAAGGAGACCTGATTGGGATAGGGACGATGAAGACGAAGACGTCCGTGTGGGTGTGGTAGGCGGAGAGACGCTGGCGACAGGGTGATCACAGACATACGCTTGCGCGACGTCAAGAGGGACCCATGTACCTTGTATTAGCGGGGAGCCTTTGGAAATGACTATGGCAGAAGCTATAGTGCTGAGAACCGGCTGTGGCCCGTGGGAGTACGCCGATATGGGGGTCAAATTGACAAAGTCCGTGTCAATCCTTCGAAGGACGGTGTATTCACCAATAGTCGTTCGATAAACGGAGATGCCTGGATACTTACTTAGCTATGACACATCGATGATATGGAGTAGAAAAACATACCCTCAACATCGGTAGCAAATATTTCCGGAACACACGGCTGACATGTCGTCACGACGACAACGTCTTTCCCGCTCACGGAGCCCTGAGAGGCACAATTGAGCCGTATGTCATTCGGAGACACACATACAGGCAGCGGGAGGAAGGATGCGTCTTCCATTTTGACTTGAGGCTTCACCTCATCCGGCGATAGTACGGACGGTTGGGAAGTCATTTTCAAAGCCGCAATGAGCGACGTAAGCGCCTCATTTTCTTTGACATCCTCGACTTTGAAGACACCCCCAACGGAGGCGACCGTTTTTGCGCGTGGTCGCAGCGTGGCGTACTCTCCTGTATCATCTTCCATCCAGATCGACTCGCTGGCGCGACGGGATACTGGCGAGCTGAGCTCATCGTAGTCGAATGTGGTAAACGGATCACGAAGGTCAAACGGATTCGCAATGGCAGAGGTAGCCGATGTCGGAGAGAGCAGAAGGTCTGTACCGTTACGCCAGGCCGTAAAAGACATCAAGGGCGCATTCAGATCGAGATCGGGAGAGTCAACCTCCCGCTTGATGACGGTGTGATCAAGCGGCGAGGAAGAGAAACGGTAACGTTCACTGTCCCAATCAGTACCCGAGTCTTGAGGTTCAAACTTGACTGTGTTATCCTCGTGTATGCGTCCGACGTCCATTATTAACATATGAGCGGCGGCTTCTCCAATGACTTGGGTAGCTTTGACCTCTTCCACTGTGGATGGAGCACGTATACCAATGTCGTCCCAAGCATCAAGAATACCCTGCACATCGCGGGGCTCTTGTTTGACAATAGAGGGCAGTAAAAGAGGAGGAGCGGAGAAGGGGGAACGGGGGCTTGGGGATTCGAAGGAAGTTTCGGCATCGTTATCAATGTTGTCTTCAAATCCGGAGTCAAAGTCCGACGACGGATAAACATAATTATCCTCCTCTTCATCAAAAGAAGAATTGACATAAGAGGAAGAAGTATTGCGGCTGCCACCGAAAATGGAAAAGGTATTATCATCATCCTCTTCTGAATCTGGAGGAGGTGATGCTAAAGAGTACGGGACCGAAGTAGAGCGTCTGAATCGAGTGAAAGAGGAGGCGGGGGAAAACGAAGGATGGCTGCTGGATGGGGAGTACGGGGGTATAGAGATTGATCGTCGCGGATATGAATGCATCGACCATTCTTCATCATCGGCATCCTGCGATGGACGAGAATCCTCGGCTTCTGAACGAGAATCGTCGGACGAGTCGTCGTCGGACGAGTCGATGGGCATTTCGTTATCATGTTCGTCGTCTGAAGAAAGAGAGAGATCAATGACGTTGGCGGATGGAGCGGGGTGAAGAGAGGGCAGCGACGGAGGAGTGACAAACGAAATACACTTGGCCAAAGGCTTCAACCTAAGGGTAAGCTTGACCTTTGGAGGGGGAGCTGCCTCTGTCTCGCTAGGATCCGAGTGTTCATCGGCCGACATTGCTGCGCGTACACAGCTTCTGGTTGAACGGCGCTTTCTCTTCTGCCCACACTGTTCTGAAGCGGCAATGGCAGCAGAGCTACGAGTGTCTCTGTTCCGCTTGGGAAGGTCCTTGTCCTTGAGAGTAGCAGAAACGTCGACATGGTCGCATAGGCGGATACCTGCTCTGGCAAAAGGACAGGGGGCGCCAGTGACGCGACTAAGGTACCATATCATGGTGCCCTTCCGGAAATTAGTTGATCGTAAAGGAGTATTAGGGTCTGCGTGTATGTTTTGATGGGCACCGCCCGACTTTGAATGGAGGGCGGGAAGGAGGAGATCATCGGAAGGAGTTCCGGACAAAACGTGGCGGAGGAGAAGGGGCTGGTCCTGCTGTACGTCGCAGCGATGAAGATGAGAGCGTATATACGTTGTGATGGCCTGGGAGGCAGCGGAGACGCTGATACAAAAAAAAAAACAAACATGAAAAAAAAAATTAATGCAAAGTAAGACCTGGGTTACATACTTTTGGCAGGCCAGACCCTGCGCCACACACATCTCGGCAAGGTCTTTGATCGTCACGGCACGGTTGTCCTGTGGAGAAATGATTGGAAATGGTACATTTAGAGAGCAGGAAAAAGACGTACAACGGAAAGGAGCGCCCGCGCGATTGAATGAAAGACACGGCTGCTTGCATCCTCTGGATGAAGGACGACGTGAGGAGATGGGAAGCTGGTCTCTGCAGGTCCTGGGCAGTCGGCTCGAAGGCCAGTCTCACAGGCTCCCGGAGCTGGAGCTGGAGCTGGTCTGAGTTTCCGATGGGGCTCAGGAGAGTGGCGAAGACGTGTCGAGGGCTTGATGGTAATGTTCTGGCGAATTCTGGTTGCATATGTGTGAACTGGCGCTGTAGTAGTCACAGATTGAGTCATTTAAAGGTGGGGAATGCAGAACATGGGGGGGAGGACAAGAACAGGAAGCGGTGGAGGTAAGCGTTGGTCAAGGGAAAAGCTGCGATTTCGTTCAGGGCAATCCATGTCACTTGCTAGCGTGCCCTTCTATATTAGGTCATCCATCACTCCCTGTTGCCACCCTGCCTGGTCCCCTGCCACCGCGAGTTCCGGAGTCCTTATCTCATTCTGAGCATAACATAGCATACTAAAACTACAAACAACAATAAAAAAAAAATAAAACCTATCTACACTACTGTACTGCTCTGCTCTCGGCCCTCTCTCAAGCCTACGATTTCGTTGTTACTTATCAGTTGTCTACTTCGCTGCTGCACAAATATTCCCTTACCTTTGCCCTCGAGGTCGGCTTCGATCGACCCTTGGAGGCGGCACCAGTCTGGCTCCCACATATCAATCACACGCTATCATTTTAATCAGACCAACCCCTTACCTGTTTAGTCGCGCCTGCGGTCTTTCTCGCTGCCGTGGGCTTCTTCGCTGCAACCTTTGTTCCAGTTATTGCCTGCCAAAAAAACAAATAACAAATCAGTGTATACAATCATTCATCCCGTCATCTCGACAAACCTTCTTCGCTGCACCCCTTTTGGATCCGGCGGTGGTCTTTTTCGCCGCTCCAGCAATCTTGGGCTTGCCGGCGAGCACTTTCTTAGCTTCCGCTTTCTTCGTAGTGGCCTTGGTCGCAGTCTTGGTCGTAGCTTTAGCAGGTCCTTTCGTGGCGGTCTTTGCAGCAGCTGCCTTCTTGGCCGTGGTCACGGTCTTGGGCTTAGCGTTCTGTGAAATGCATGTCAATCCCCGACGTCCCCAACACTCGATAGAATACAAACCTCCTTGGTCGCTATGGACGACTTCTTGGGCGGGAGCTTCACCTTGCCAGAGAGCCCTTTGGGCAAGACAAACACGCCATTATCGGCTCCACTACTTATAGCTCTCTTGAGTTGGAACAAATTGACACCCACGACTTCGATGTTGTATCGGTCCTCGGCGTACTGCGCATGTATATATATCAACATGGCATTGCGATGGATAGAAACGACCGCATACCTTCTTGATAGTGCTGCGCGAAACTCCCTGGCGCGCTTCTTCCTTGTGGTCGGTGATGCAAGCCTGTTACAATCCTCGATGAACATACTGTCAATGATGAACGATTCCAACATTACTCACAGTAATGATATCCTTCCACGAAGGTCGCGAAGAAGTGGTAGTAGACTTTGTTTTCGTGACGGTCTTCTTGACTGTAGTGGCCTTCTTGGCTGTGGTGGCCTTCTTGGTTGCTGTTACCTTCTTAGCTTTAGCTTTGGTAGGCTTGGCCTTTGAGGCAGGTTTTGTTGTCGAAGCAGGCTTCGAGGCAGAGATAGGTGTTTCGGTAGACATAGCAATGGTGGCCGCACAGAGTTCCGACAAGCCTGGGTCCCGCACTTCAGGGCAGGGTAATCTCGAGAACCTCAACTCTGCAGCACCCCTTTTAAAGCGGAACGCGTCTGACAAACAACGCGTAGTCACATGATGAGATAATCAACGCGCCCGATCAACAAACTACGCGATGAGCACAGCCACATATAATTTCCGAATTCGATGTGTTCTCTTTGGTGATCGGCCGTACTAGTCCCACCGAATTCCCTGGTTCATAATGACTCTCTATTAATATTGAAACTGTTTACATACCAATCACAATACAAGGAACGATCCATTCGTCTGTACCCTTGCTCTGACACCAGCACCAACCCAGCCATCTTCCTCCTCGGTGCTGCTTCCGTTACTTCCCCCGCTTCGTACATCCACATAGTCCTCGACTCCACCCAACAGCCTACCCACCGGCGGCCCACGGACCAGGAGTGCGCCCTCAGGATCACTGTCTTTCGCAATATCTTCATCGGACACGCCTAAAAGTCGTGCTTCGATATTGATGCTCGGAGGTCCCACATGCGCAGCAGGTGATGCGGCAGGGAAATCTTGGAGATCTAGAGGGTGAGAAGCAAAGACAGGCGCCGCTACAAGGGGGTGCGTGAAAGCGTTGACAAACGCCGTTGAGAATGCGACCCGCGCCGGTGTAAGAAGGTCAGATAGCACGGGTCCTGAACGACAATTGACAATTAGCGTACAGCGATATGACTGTTTCTGGCCTGTTTACCTCCGCTTACGATAACTGCGGCAAGAGTACCGGCAGCATCGCCTATAACATTCGCTCTAGCACTATCAAATACGAGCCGGTCCCACAAACTGTCTTTGGTCAGGAATCCTTCCGCAATCCCCGATACTTTGTGCCTCCATGCGAATGGGTAAATCAGGGATGCTTTTTTCGCACCATCCAGAATGGAAGATACTAGGGTTTCCAGATGACCGGGTTTGATAAAGAGGACGGTGGGGGAAGGAATCGGGTAATTTTTAAGGGTCGCAACATCTGCAACGTTCGCTTGCACAGCAGCTGTAAATGATTAAGTCTGCTAGTCCTCAAAAGGGATGTATGTGAAGACCTACTGTCGCCGAATGGAAACAGTTTCGAACTGTCCAGTGTCGCGAAACTAGTGCCTTCAAAAACGGCAGTATAAGCGATAGAACGGCCATATGCAGTACTCAGGGAATGTGCCGAAACCATCGTATCCAGAGGAGACAGCGGGTGGGATGCAGGAAGCAGTGCGCGAATGGCCGCGACGCCTGCCGTAATATTCTCATGGGTGAGTTGAGCCCCTTGCACCTGACCATTGCCGTTTGCAAAGAAGGACACGGTAAAAATGTCGCTGGGTTCTATCGAAGGACAACCTTAGAATGTTCACACGAGGACCACAAACCTTTTAACATACTGGGAGCCTGGCCAAGAATTTTTTCCGTCTTCACACCTTCGCGCTCAACGTCTTCCCATTTGAAAACCTTAACCTTGCTCGCGACACGAGCCATGGCCTGAGCGCTTGGTTCGCCAACAATAACGATGGTATGATGTTGGTCACTCTCTCCCGCGTCATAAATCAACTCAAGCAGCTGAAGAAGCAACTCGGCATGGGTGATGATGACTGTGGGTGGATGAGATTCAAGAATTCCAGCGAGGAGATTGGCTGCAGCAATCGTGAACGACGGAATAGAATGCATAGCAAGTGCCATGTCACTGATAATAAATTCTGCCTCTTCGTGAGAAACGCGTAGCAGGTGGGAACTGATAATACATACCAAGCGAGTCGTTGAGCAGGAGAAGGACATTGGACTCTTGGGATTGTATACCGGTCGATCGCAATAAACCCGTCCCGAAAGAGGCGACACGGTCTTGCAAGGTGGGGTTAGTGATCTAGCGGAGTATTAGAATGATAATTTTGAAGGAGGTAGGAAAGAGAATACCTTGGTGTTCCAGAGAGTACGAGGCGCATCATGGTCGGGCTTGACCAGATCACTGAGGATATAGACGTCCTTTGTGGGCCGCAGAGGAAACTTTTTCATATGAAACCGTCAATTGCCACGTATGGGAGCGAACGACTGTGTACGTACTCTTCCCATGAGTCCAGTCCCATAGTTCCTGTACACAGCACTTTCTCCTGGATTCCTGACACGGGCAACATCACTCTGGCGACCGAGAAGGATGGGGTGCACTAGCGGCTGAGGTTTGTAAAAGTTGTGGAGAAGAAAGACGGTTGCTGCAATGAGACCAAGCAAGACAGTCAGGTCATCGGTAACCAGGTAGTCGGAGATATTGACGCCCATCTTGAAATAGTGGTAAACCTTGCCAGCCTACACTCTCTTGTACGATTTTCTGGTGCAGATGAATGTGAGAGTCTGAATGGACCCGAACAGCCCTTCCTGCGTGGTACGTAGTAGGTAATGACGGGCCGATGATCCAAAAAGGGCCGACAAAACTGGGCGATCGGCCAATTGCACTCTTCCTTGTCCTGTCCTGTCTCTTGCTTGCCGCTATTGCCATTGTTCACGAAAATGCAGCCTTTATTTTCTTCTTGGCTACTGTTGCCGCCAATGATGACACTGGAGCTGGGTCCGTGCTTAAGATTTGATTCTCATTGGTCAATGATCTCTACTACCGTTCCCAACGTTGCCTCTGACTACAGCGCTTGATTTGTCGTCTGCAAGACAGCATCATCAACTTCCCAGCAGTACGGAGGGAATCATTCATTTTTGTCGCCTGCTCTGTCTTGACAATGGGACGGTCTGTGCACCATTGTATGCACGTGACTATTCTAGGGGTCTTGCAATCAACAAACGGCCAACTTTCAACCCACTTTTCCCCTCTTCGTCATCTCGCAAGTACTCGTCTCCTCCGTTATCGCTCTCGCCAACATGCCCGCCGCCGTCAAGAAGACTTCAGCAAAGGCTCCTACCAGGTCTAGTGCTGCAGCAGCAAAGTCGGGCGCTGCAACGCATCCGTCTTGGGTCGACATGATCAAGGTTCGCGTTCTCTTCACCGTCCTACGGCGCCTCTTTTGCTCGGATCTTGCTAATGGCTTTCCTCTACACCTTAGGAGTGTATCACTGCCCATCCTGAAGACGCTCGGGGAGGCGTTTCTCGGCCAACAATCAAGAAGGTGAGGCCGCACGAGGGTTATCGTCACCCAGGTGTTGATGGATTCTCCTTCCAGTTCGTCGAATCCAAGTACCAGATTGGCCTGAACAATACCGCCGCCTCTCAGCTGAACCGTGCAATCACTTCCGGTCATGAGAAAGGCGTGTTCATCCTTCCCAAAGGTATGCTACTCTCGCACCGACCCGATGTGTCCGACGGATGATCTCTTTGTCATAGGACCATCAGGCAAAGTTAAGCTCGCACCCAAAGTCCGTGCTGATGCCGCCAAGGAGGTACGAGTCCCCATGATGGCCGTCGTTGGGTAAACGCCTGACCCACGTAACAGAACAAACCGGCAGCCAAGAAACCAGCCGCCACTGCTACCAAAGCCAAAGCTCTTGCCAAACCTACCACCGCTAAGAAACCTGCGTCCAAGACAGCTACAAGGACCAAAGTCGCTACTACATCCAAGAAGGCTGCCGCAGCAGCTAAGACACCCGCTAAGACTGCTCGCACGACCGCCGCTGCTACCACCAAAACCACTCCTGCCACTACTAAGAAATATACGTCCAACGCCAAGAAGGCTACGCAGGCAAAGAAGGCTACCGCTGCAACAAAGAAAGTTGCCACCGCGAAGAAACCCAAAGTTGCCACCGCAAAGAAGGCCTCCACTGCGAAGAAGGCTTCCGCTAAGAAGGTCAATCTTCACAAATCCCCCTTCAGACACATCGATTGAACACTTGTGCAGGCGACAACTGCGGCCAAGAAGCCCTCTTCCAAAGCGAAGCCTGCAAAGCTCAAGGCTGACACTCCCGCCTCCAAAGCTAAGCCTGCATCCAAGGCGAAGCCCGCGTCGAAGACCGCTGCTACCAAGAAACCTGCATCTAAGAAGGCGGCTGATAAGGTACGAGACGCGGTTTTTTCTTCGGTCCCACTGTTGATGCGCACACAGGCTTGATGAACCGAATTTTTCATTTCTCGGGTCTGTGTAGTTGGAGAGATATAGGATTTATCTTTGTAGTGTATATATTTTCTTCGTTGTTCTACCTTATTCTATTCCAATGGTCCCCTGTACCTGTCTCTATTGTATTCTGTATATGTACGACGTCCGACCAAGTAGCTCTTGTACCGGTTTTACCCTTAGCTATCTTTTGTATATATTTGTATGCGCGGTACTGGCGCGCTTCGATCATCTCTTTGCTTTGCCCACGACGTGCACTCTGAGAAATTCTATGGACCGTGCTCTGAACGCAAGAGATGTTGTTAAACAGTTGCGGCTGCCTGTAGGCGACATCACTACGCTGCTTGCTCTGCTCAGCGGTCCGCTCGATTGTTTGGGGTTGCTGCCTCCCTCATTGAGAAAATACAACGTTAATCCTCTCTCCGACGACACCACCCAGGTACTTAGACATATACCTACCATCCAGCAAACGATTCTGCAGCACATATTCCCCACATGGGAGGCAGCTCTCGCAAGAAACAGTCTGACGTCAATCCTGGAACAGTACTTCTGTCCGGATAGCTTCTCGTATGCTCTGTCATCATCGGGGGATGTTGTGCTTTTTGCCTATTCGACCATTTTGTCCATATCTTTATCTGGTTATTCTATTCACCTTTTGGAACGTCTCACAACAGAGTATCCAGTCGATCGGTTATATAAAGCTATCTTCTCCCGGGGTAGCAATTCGAAGAAGGATATGCTATGGGAAGACTGCATACGCAATTTTTCTGCTGTGCCAGCGAAAGTGGCCAACTTTGCTGGTACAGATTCCATTCCCTCCTCGCTGGCACAAGGAAATTACTTTAACAACCTCTCTGTTCGCTGCGAAACTCTCATTTTCTCGCTAGCCGTCAATGGTAAGCATGAAAATGGTACGACACATCTATCCCTTAAAGGGAGCTGTAAAGTCTAAAGCACATGTCAGATGTTTCATCTATTGTTTCTCTTCTCGCCAAGTCGGTGCATATCGGTCTGTTTCCTCCAAATCTTCCAACATTGCCATCGCAAGCATCCTTCTTTCAGGCAACACTACCAATCATCAGGAGTCGCCTCGATGACAGTGCGAACGAGAGCTGCTACTCCAAGTTTTGGGCTGAGGTTTTCCTCGGATTTCCATCAGTCCTGACATTGCGGACCGTATTAACGTCGCTTTTCGCGTCGTTGAGAACTTTGGACTCACCGCTGGATGGAAGTGCATATCAAAGGGCTTGGGTCAAAAGAGAGGCGTTGTTACTTGACCGATTAGTTGGCCGAATTTCCCTCGATAATAAGGAGCTTTGCGAGACTGCTATTCCCATCATCCTCGGACGCAATTGGGACGAATCTTGCGCACGAATTTTTGTCTGTTGGGTAGCGGGTCCACAGGAACGCGATGCCGACGATAATGGTGATTCTCTTCGTACACATTTTTGGCTCTTACTCATTGATTTCACTAAGCCTTGGGTCATTTTCTGCAAGAGATTGTAAATGTATGGTCTTCACCTGATCATGTCAAGCATTCCCTTCTCGCTCGGCACCAATGTAAGCTAAATTTATTATTTCGATACGGATGGATCCGACTAAGTTCTTGCTCAGATTTTACCGCTCTTCTGGTCTTCACAGTGTCATACTTAAAGCGTAACTCTCCAGAAGTCTCCAGCCTAGCGCAGGGAGGAAACTTCATTTCCGGCGTTAGTTTGTACATCGGACACATGGATGCCTCAATTCGCCGATGTGGAATGCTGGCTGCTGAAGTCGTTGCCCATGCATCCGGGAAGAAACTCAATTTTGAAGACTGGGAGGGCACTGGTGATGGAAAGCCATGGACGAGAGCTCTTCGAGCCTTACTTTATGAACGGGACGTGGACTCCAACATTGTTGTTCTTGAGAAGGAACCCGTTCCAACAAAGAAGACAGAAGAGCCAGGTGATGCCGCATCGATACGCAAGGCGTCACCCCAATCTTCGATGTTACGGAGCAATGCAGGAGACTATGACTCTGATGACTCTTTGACCGGTTATGCTTCCCCGGCCTCTTCGCGCTCTGTTTCTCCCACACCATCTGAATTAGATAACATCGAAAAGGACCCTACACTCAACGTGACTAAAAAGAAAATTTCCAGACCCGTCTATCTCGTTCAGCTTGGGGAACTGCTGCGAAGTAGCGGAGGGGTGCAACAAAGTGATGCGGCTCTTGAAGCTGATAGGATCGAGTTGGCTCTTTCATGCAGCGAAGATCTCATTCGGAGGAAACAGTTTTTTGGAACAGAGCTAGGTCGGTGTATGACTTCACACCCTTGAAACATAGACTCATGCTCAAGATAGAGGAGAATGCTGCCAATCTGACATATGGTCTTATTGCACTTCATAATAGTTACAACTTGGAAAATTTCGACACACGCCGACAAAATGCTCTTGTTGCTCTCGTCGCCTGCTGCCCACGGAAAACCACACCGTGCGTTGGGTTGTCACCAAAATGCACTCATCTGATACCTTTGAACACAGGTGCATAATTGAAGAGTTTTTCAAGAATCAGTATAATGTCGGTCAACGATATGTCATGCTCAATGCTTTAGCACTTGGCGCAAGAGAGATGAGCGGATTGGCGCATCCACCTCTACCCCAATATCCAAGCAAGCTTCTACCTGCATCGCTTCACAGGAAGTACATTACGGGCCGGGATTTTGGAATGACATTGTTACCAGTCATCATGGAAGACCTTACTCGACAAGCCATTCAAAGCGGCAAGGACAGTGCCCTAGCAAGTGCGCCCGCCGTGGTTCGCGAGCGACGGTTGCGCATACAGAAACCGCAAATGGTTGCCGAAGTCAGGAAACCTGAGCACTTGAATGAAACAGTGCCACACAGTGCCGTTAAATTTACAGAAGTCGCTGCAGAATTCTTCGTAGGACCGCTGATGAACCGATTTTGGCTCTTCCTTCGAGACGAGCAAACGCGGGAAGAGCGAACTGCACATCTGAAAGGAAGACAGGTGTATTACGGTGCAGGAACGGGCCTCATTCTCAATTCTCTCGTGCTAAGCTATTTTCTCAGTACGTTGGGCGTCTTGCTTCATGCATCAAGGAATGCACCTGAGTGGTCTGCAGTCTTGGGGCCCGATGCCCTGGAACTTGCAGTGAACATCGGAACTCGGCCAGTTTCGCGAATAGAAGACGAAGAAGAACTTGATAGCGGCGAGGGAGCGAGGAACCAAGAGGGTGGTGGACCAATGGGGAGGCAGGCATCAGTTCTTCAATCTTCATTGGAATTGACCCTTGTGATACTCGAAGGTTATCAGGAGCTGGATGAAGGAAAATCTCTGTGTTTAGAGCACACTGCACTCCTTTTTGGTGTGATTGAGTGGGCAGGCGCCGTGTTTTCTCGACTCGACAAGGGGGAAAGGGTCAAAGGTGGTGGTGGTAGTTCCGAAACCGGTCTACAGCGAGCTGCTGCAGGAGTTGTTCTCAAGGCTGATATTATTACCAGTAAATGGCGTCGGTCAATGATAAGTATGATATAAAAAAGTATTTTACTTTAGCGTCAATTCTCGTGATCTGATTGGCGGGAGGACTCGCACCGACTAGCCACGTGGAAAGCCGAGTAATCACCCAGAGCGCCAGTTGGATTTCACGACCAGCAATGTTCTCCAGATTAGCTCTGCGGCTGCCTGCACGGCTGCCTGCACGACGGGTATCTACGACATGTCCTCGCCAGTCGGATGCTCTATTTGTGGTCCGTAGCCAAGTTTTTCGTTTGTTTTCGTATTATCGACCGTCGTGACAGCATCGGGACACACCGTATAACAACCCCAAGGCATGCAGTAATCCACATCCAAAGCAAATCGACTAAGTGCATTGAAACAGATTGCATTTGAATTCAACGCCGACAATCTGACACGAGCGAAAGCAATTATTGCTAGGTACCCGCCTCAGTACAAGAAGGCAGCAGTAATACCCCTCCTGGACCTCGGACAGCGACAGAACAAAGGATGGACGAGTATCAGTGTCATGAACTACGTGGCGAAGCTCCTCGAAATGCCGCCTATGCGGGTGTATGAAGTTGCTACTTTCTACACCATGTTCAACCGGTGCGTACTACTCGTGTTTTGACTTTTCGAATCTCAAACGCTCTGCAGTGAACCTATAGGTGAAAACTTTGTTCAAGTTTGCACGACGACTCCTTGTATGCTGCGTGGTTCAACAGACATCCTGAATACCGTATGCAACCATCTCGGAGGCATACATCCTGGCCAGACGACGAAGGATGGCAAGTTCACGGTGGTCGAAGTGGAATGTCAGGGCGCCTGTAGCAACGCACCAATGATGGTCGTCGGCGATGATTTCTACGTCAGTGGCTCAACCTTACAGGTCGTTGTTGTCTTACATGCTGTTGTAGGAGGACTTGACTCCCGAATCCACCAAACGTATTTTAGATGCTTTCGCAAAAGGTGAAAAGCCGAAAACTGGTCCTCAGAGCGGGCGCCAAACGAGTGAGAATTCGGCGGGTCTAACAGCGCTTACTACAAAGGTATGTCCAAGAGAAATTGATCGATCTGACTACGCTAACTGTTCATTCCAGCCATATGGTCCTGGAGAATTCTGTAGCCCAGAATTCCAATGAATGTCTAGGAATGATTAATATATATGTCAAGTCCTAAACATCCTTCTGTTGCGTGATTTCATGTCAATATTTTGAACGCCGTTGTCAAGGCATTGGTATCTTAATCATCTCCTTCGCCATCGTCGTAGCCATAGGCTCCCTCCCCTACTTCAGGCAGACGAGTTATCATAAATCTAGGGCCGACAATGAGAAGTCAGCCGATCGTATAGTAGAAAAGCGTACCCGATTTCCTCTTTCAGATCTTGGCAGTATGTATCTACGAGGGATCAGTCAAAGAAGCAAAAGAATGAAGGCACACGTACCGAGAGGAAGATCGGATTTGTCTGTTCCTGTTAAAGACGTTGCGTCAGTACAGGAACGGCTCCAGAACAACTGCATACTCACCAAAGGGCATCTCAATTTCATCAGCAATACCTTCTATGCCCATCAGAGTGAATGCAACGACCGTCACTATAGGTATCATAGTCCAGCCAAGGTCATTGACGAGGGTCAGCGGTAAGGCAAACAGATAAAGGGTGACGCATTGCTTCAGATGAATTCCATCTAAGAGATAGAGGTAAGAAGACGATTGAAACACAGAAGGTATATGCGCACAAGAGGGTGGGATCGGGGTATTCGCAACACGCTCCATGGTCGTCATTTGGTCGACCATGCCCTGAATTCTGTGATGGTCGCAATAAGTCAAGGGTCATTTAAAGATGTCGAGAAACTTACAATTGAGTCATTGCATTCGTACCTGTGCCATTAGTCAGGGTTATGATACTTGCCGACATACGAACAACTCACCTGCTGGGCCAACAGTTTCTAACAGTCCATCTCGACGAAAACAGAATATCATTCGGCCCAATTCATGAGAAATACTGCGCGTAGTCAGTCTAAGCATGAGCAAATCATTGGACAGATACTAACATTAATGGAAGAGGAAGAGAGGTTTCCTCCGCGAATTGAATTGACAGTAACGGTGTCGTCTGACTGATAAGGTTCGGTTTGCTACGCTTTACACGCACTCGCTTCGTGGCATTGGGTCGGTCAAGGGACGTCATGCCGCTGCTGTCACTTGGTGCTGGCGATGAGCTACGCGTCGCTGAATATGCGTCAGAACGATACCCCATATCTTCTGCTTGGAGGAATGAGGGTGGGAGCAATCCACGATAATCTTCCCAGTTGGTACCGTCTTCTCCGCGAAGGTAGTGCTTGACTGCATAAGCAAACGCCAGACATAGATGCAGTGCGTCTGCCTTCCTGCGTTCCAACTGTTTGGGTGTTATTGTTTTTGCTTTTCCTTTGATGGAAATCTCTTGGTCTGAAGGTGGAGGCGCAACATTTACCCAGACCAGACGGGAAAGATTTCGGATGTTGGATGTCATGGATGCAAATGACTTTCGTCCTTCCCAGTAACGATCATAAGAAGTGCTTTAGTGTCATCAGCTGACAGACATATGCTTTTGAAGGAACCGACGTGCCCATTCCTGAAAGGAGAATGAGAAGGAATCAGCTCTGAAATAAATACGCGTACTAACCTGAATACTAATATAAGGCCAACCTTGAGGGAGAAGTCAAGACATGTACATCTGGTAGAACGCACGCTAACTTACAACCACAGATAGCAAAGGAACGACGGAGTTCGTAAGTTGGACCTGATGACCCTTGGTATGTGCATATGCAACAAACGTCGCAAAAATCGTGACTGTTAATACAGGCCCCCAGATGCGAGGAATAACCTGGCATTTGATCAGGAAACATCTCTCATCGCAGAGGATGAACGCACGCTGCCCTTAAGTCTGAGGACGTCAGGAAGCCACGAGTACTGAAGCAGTAAATGAGTGGCAGTCATTGCGTTGACCCGTAAATTTTCACCTTTCTTAGATGCCTCCTCTTAATCTTCGGTGGCTTCATGATGGATGGTTAAACCATTAGGAGAGAGAATACAAGAAAGGGATTTACTCACACTTATGATTGGCAGGAAGGAATCTTTTAACGTGGTCATGGATGCCAACAGACAAGGACGATAGTTGCTACAAATTTATTACACAAGTCCCGTGTTTACGTAACATCATTGGCAATATCACGGGTCCGTGTCACCGGCGGCGCAAAGGAACCCAAGGACAAGATTCTGATATGATGCATTCTACATACGACGTATCCAAGGGCTTTCTTTCTTACAAGATGGAGGTACGACGTCTTTTTCCAGTAGCGTTCGAAAAGGCCAGAAGGGGAACAAGGTGGCCACCCCGGTGAATAATCCGCTACAATGAGTGCGTGAATGAGATAATCGCGTTGATAGTAATAGCGAAAGACATTCTGTCAGACTCTCGATTGGCATATCATCAGAAACGCAGCGGCGGATGGAATGTTGGCACATCCCGACACGGGGAAACGAGTCCACAGGCTTGAGAACTTCTTTGGACCCTTAGGCTCAGCTCGTGTTCGGAATGGTGAAGGGGTATAAAGTGGCACTGGCAAGACCTGCTGAGCCGGCCTGACCGGCATCGAGCAATGGCTACTATCGACGAATGGAAACGGAAGGATAGGAGAGGTCGCAATGTACCAGACTGGGTCACAAGTAGCCATGAAGGACAGACGACTTCAGAGAGCAGGCCTATTCGAGGCCAGGCGCTTCCGAGACGTGAAAGCAGCGGTGATATGCCTGGGGGAAGACGGTGGAGATGTCAAATTGGATGGTTTTTTTCATATGGTTGTGTCCAGGAGAGATGTTTTGAGGTAACGGCAGTGATAGCACCGATAGGGCTTTCGGGGTTGAAGGAAAAAAACTAAGAGAGTTACGAGAAACCTGTCAGAAAACGAGGTAGCACAAATGAGGAAAACAAGCACCGTCGTAGTGAGCGACGATACCGACCAGGTCCTGCATTCGACGTAGCTGGAGGTTGTGGTTGACCGTATAAGTGGGTAAAAGACAACAACGAGCCAAAGATGGCGCCCGTCCAGAAGTATCGCTCTTCCTGAAGCTCAGAATACGATATATCGATGTTTGTCTGTCGAAGTTACAAGAACAAAATCCGGATGGAAAAATGTCACCAGGTACCTTGCAATAGTGCAAGGTCGACATGTTGAGTCTTGCGAATACCATTCGCATTGGAACGATGGCGCGTCATTCTCCGTTGTGCACAGTATTCCCCAAAAGTGAGGGGAATGAGAGTTCGATGTCGCGCGTGAAGGTGGAGAAAAGGTAAGAGTTTGCTGTTTGGGTAGTTGTCACGCCCATAGGTCGCGTGGAGCACGTGCACGACACGTCAAGACTCAAGATTCGGGACTCGGTCGACTCGGAGTCCGACTTCTTTCTCGACCATCACCAATCAATTCGGACGCAAGCCCTATGGACGTTGTGCAAGCTGCGGCGTCCGCCCTATCTGCGTCTCGTAAAATTGAAAGCGTCGATTCGTCGTTGAAGCACGTATTGGAGGCGGTGAAGCTGCTGGTAAGTCCATACCCGGTCCGTCGAATTTGCATTCAATGAAGCCTATTGCAGGATCTCCCATCTCCGTCTTTGAACGTCATTGAAAAAATAGGATCTTGCCTTCGTAAACCTCTTCTACCGCTCTACCAACATTGCACCAATCTTGCGCTTCGATTCTGCTCTGCTACATTAATCTGTATTTCCGTCAAGAAGGTCCAGCCTGCTCTGCTAGTTCAAGCTAACAGCCTTGTTGCGGCTTGGCAGGCAACACAAACTGCGCTACTTTCTGGTGTATTGGTCCGCGACCCATCGCTCTTACGCATCAGACAACAGCTAATCATCTGCCAGGATTTCATCGAACGAAACCCCACAAGTTGTTCGTTTTTAGGGCTATTCGCTCAACACTTAACCGTCCACAGATGAAAACAAGAAAAGTATCGCTACAGTGTTATATCCTGTGCTATGCGACGGCTACTTTTTGAGGACACAGTCTGAGCGTTTAACAGTTGGTGTTAATCTTGTCTGCTCGGCAGGTCCTTTTCTCTTATTTTGCGCGCATATGTTCATATGCATTAAACAGGCGTATATCTTGCTAACGGAAACTGCATCCCTGAGTGAAAATCGGCTCGCGCTGCAGGACCCAAAGCTGCTTGGAGCGTGAGTGAAAATCTACAACCAATGTTTGCTATTTCTTAGCCAAGTAGCAAACGTATCGGTCGTACGCTTGCTGGATGCAAAGGTAATCACTTCCTGGTATTGTCCTGAGCCTTAGCTAATATGAAACAGATTATTTGGCTATAGAAGCCCTCTTAGAACTCTTCGCGAGCATCCTGCCACCCGCCACAAGGGGTGGAAATGACAAACGGAGGCGCTTCCTACGGCTGACGTTCGATTCAGAACTCTTCACCTGCGATGCTCAACTAATAAAGGTCTTATCCTCGCCGTCAATTACTGATTGGGAAACGTTGTCGGTAAAGATTATCGCAACACTGTCCAAGTCAGATATCACTTTGTGAGCTAACCGAACTACGGTTGTGTACCCTTCTGACATACCGTTAGTCCGCAGCCCTTTAAGATTGCGTCTTTGCGAGTTGCGGATACATTCCCCAACGTGGATAACACCATCTACCTTGACAATAAAGGTTTCACGTCCAATATTGACGAGGTAGGGATTCGCATCTGTTGATCTGTCAACTTATGTCCTCCGTTTTTATAGAACGGAACCTACGAGACCTTTCATGTTCCTTTCGCTAACATCCAGAAGATAAAACTTAACGCAACTGGTTCTTCGTTGTACACTGTTGTCACTGCAGATCTAACGTCATTTCCTATCATTGATCGGACATCCGGAAGCCAAAATTTCACTCGAAATGCAACGATGGTTTTCGAAATTTCCAGCACAGACAAGGAAAGATTCGCCAAGGGCCTGAGGACTCGGAATTTGGTTTGTCTTTTTTCTTGCCGCCATCCCCACCGGCTTCTTCATTCTCATCAGGGCTTAATCATCGCACCAAACGAAAGAAAAGCATCGAAGCTCAACGTCGACCTCCCATTAGACTCCGCATCTAATGGTCAATCATTTCCAGTGAGTTCTATCTAGTTTGCCAGAGATATGGTGCTGATTCATGCGGTGATAGGAAAAAGCTGAGCGAGGTGAATCGTGTTGGTCCTATCTTTGTTCGGTCAAGATGAGTTCATGACGTCCTCTAGTGTTGGGCGTTGAGGCTTCTTCTGATTACCATTTCCTTCAAACTCCCTCTGCACCGAGGCTTCATGATATTTCTCTCCCTACGTCCACTGACGACCTGAAATGCCTTGACGTTGAGGGTGATCAAGATAATGTCGCACCGAACCCGCCAAGAACCAGGCGTGCCCAGAAACAGAAGGCTGTCGAATCGGATGACGAAATTCAAGAAGTACCACCTATTCTCATAAGTAACGTCGCTCGGAACCCAACAAAACTTCAGTCCTCGGAACAGCAGCCCGCTGTGCCCGCAGAACGTGTTACGCATCCCCTTCCACATCCCCGCACACGTACGCCAAACAAGTCCCTCCCGAAAGCACAAGGCCATCGGGTTCATTTTGGAAGCACAGAGGATACGTCTCTAAACAAAGCTGTCGATGGTTCTGAACCCGAGGAAACATCGAAGCGAAGCACGAAGACAGGTATCATTGCTTGGGTCATATTTTTGATCGTTGCTTACTTTTTTTCAAGCGTCAACACATTCGGTGGCAACTAGAAATCCTCCATCGAAGAAAAGACAGCGGACCGCCGAGATAGAGGATGTTGAAGACAAGGACTCCCGCCCATCAAAGCGTCTAAGACCCCAAAGCCCCAAACACGAAGCTATTAAAAAATCGAAATCGCCCGTTTTCAAGAAATCTGTTATCGCGCCAAGACGCTACAAACGCAAGGGTCGAACCTCGTCACCCACACCATCCACGGCGGCGTATATGGGATATGACAAGACACCTTCTGTCTCTACTCCTAAGCAAGCTACTTCAAACCGGCCAGAAGGGCAATCAATCTCGGCACCTCGTTCTACTCGTGTATCAGCTATGAAGGGCAGAGGGGGGAGGGCGCAAGCCAAAGGTGTCGTCTGTGTTAAGGCCGAACCGCCCCCAACCCACAAGGTTAAGGACGCTAAGAACACCGCAAAAGACGGCCAAAAGGAAGCAAAGGTGAGCACGTATATACCAAGGTATGCCCAATGAACTAACCGACTGCTGGCATTAGCCCACGCGTCGTTCAGAACGTGCCAGGAAAGTTATAGACAAAACCACCAAAGCAAACACTGTTGCAATATTTGTATCTCTTTGGTCGAGAATTACTCACTGACACTCATTGTCAGGTCGAGCATCAATCGCCTGTCAAACCGGAACCGCAGGACAACGAACTCTCCACTGAAACGAACGTGTGTATTCGTTCTAATATCTCTAAATGTCGTTACAGTAACACTCGGTTATAGGCCAACATGAAACCCGACGAATCCAGAATGCAGGTTGCACTGGGATCAGACACTTCTCTTCCGACGGACCATGATTTGATGGAGACGGAAACATATACTGACTTTATTGTCCCAACCAAAGTGATCCCCCCATTTTCATGCAGCTTGAACTGTCTCATCCTACTTGTTTTCTATAGACTGAGGAGCCGACTACAAAGAGTGTCACCATGATAGATCTGACATTGGACGATTCGCCCCCCAGTATCACTAAACGCAGTAAGGACAAGCAACGCCAGAATCCTGCTCACGTTTTCACTTTCGATGCAGACCAACTTGTGTCACTGAATTCTGATGGTTCTATTGCAAAGAAGTCCATAAAGTCTCTGGACGTTTCCTCGAAGGTCCTTGCTACAAGTCTGCGAACTACAGAGGAAGCCGCGAACGAGTCGACCACGCCGAGCCCTACGGATCCGCAGAACAGGCCCGCAGAAACTCGTAATAGGACAGAAAAGCCCGTAGCCTCTCGGCAAGTTTCAGTTCGACAGCAGCAACCCGTTAGAACTTCCGACAGTATTTTCAATCTGGATTGTGACCCTGCGATGGTGCATACGGCTGTTACGAAGCCGGATGCGTCTCTCGACGTCTTGCCTTCTACTTTGCCTTCCTCCGCTAAAGGTCCTGCTTGTCTTAGCTCCCGTCTACACAACAATGCTGGGAACGCTGATCCAACAAACCGCACTGGTCGGCAAGAGACTCCTATCTCCCTTTCAGATCGAAATCAGAGTCTCCTCGTAAAAGAAAACTCTTCAACTGGAACCAAGCAGAAATTTGATATACCCTTGAGGACGATTTCTTCTCGAGGTACGCCACTATTCGACAAAACCAACTCCCTCGAATTTTCTTTCCGCACCGAACAATATTCCCCCCCAAATGTAATTTCCAAATCATCCAAACACGGTATGCTCTGTTGCCTGTCTATACCGGCAGTCTGATTACTTTTTAGCAGCCCGGCCTATGTTTAACATCGAAGAACTCGAAGAATACGGCGAACAGCGTCACAGACGATATGAGAAATATCATGACTACCGTAGCGGCCATGTGGATCACGATATCATCCAAGTAGGTTAACCAAGCTACCTCTCCTCTTGTCAGCCTAGTGATCCATCATCGTTGCAGATCTTGGGTGATATACAGGATGTCAGTCATTTTTAGTACTGAAAGGCATCCTTACCCATCATAATAACAGGTCATCGTAGACAAGATTTCAAAACGATTTGATCACGTCAAGACAGATGTACGTGTTGGACGCAGGTCCATTCTTCGCGAAGCCGCTGTCGAGCTTGAAAAAATGCGAGTAGACAGGTAGGTTACTCTGATTGATCACGGCACGCCCTTTCATTTTCATCTATTCCAGCATCCAGCACTTTAACAGTCTTGTTGACTTGGAATCCGAATATTCTTCCTACATCCGGAACCTTTCTAATGGATTAGAAGATCTTCACAAGGTGAATCTTCAAATAACACGTCGAATTGAAGAAGTACTGCAGACGCATGATCGTCGTTCGCTGTCCAAATTCTTTCTTACCTTGTCTTCTCCTTCTCCTCGTGTATTGCGTTCATCGTTTTGACACCGGCACGCACATGTCCTTTGCTCGCCATAGCATGTTACAGTTGTAGTACTTTGTCGAATTTGAATTTTACCGGCAACGTCATCCGGTATTCCCGTGCTGAAAATCCAGTGTCAAAATTTGCATGTTTTCTCTTGTTAGACGGGCCTTTGCTCGACAAATTCGAGTTGATGGTCTTCGCAGAGAACGACGTTTTTATTCTTCAGGCGAAATCTGCACGGATGCTCTTCTACCCCCGAGAAAACTAAATTTGACAGGCCATGCACAACGATGCAGTCAAAAGCAAGTGACGTATGGTGGACGACGGCATCGATCACATCTTAGTCCTGTTCTACTACGTTCTTCAGTTCAGCCTTCCATAGTGCGACTTTTATCACCTCTATCACTCTGCAATATGTCCACTGTCGCCACCGCGGATCCTAACCGCCTGCCGACGAACGTGAAACCCACCCATTATGATGTGGCTATTCGTACAGATCTGAAGAACCTTACCTTTGAAGGATTTGCGAAAATCAGGCAAGAATTGCTTATGACGGGTGCCATAGCATCGAGCTAACAGGTCCGCATACAGTTTGGATGTTAAGGAAGAGACAAGCACGATTGTACTGAACAGTGCTGATCTGTCATTCGAACAAGTGTAAGTCGCTACAGTGAGAGACCGATTAATTTAGTTTGACGATGCTCTTTCTTCAAGGACCCTGACCACCGACACCAAGAAGGAAAAGCTAATTCCTACCAGCCAGACCGTGGATGGCGATTGCATCTCATTCACATTTCCGACTTCTCTTCCTGCTGGCTCCAAGGCTCAGCTTAGTATTGGGCCGTACAAGGGTGCTTTAGGAAACAGCATGACAGGCTACTACCGCTCAGAGTACAAGGAAGGTGGACAGACCAAGTACTATTCCCTGACCCAGTTTGAGGTGCGTTCATCAAACAAGCTTGGATTGGATCTGACCGGACCGACAGCCCATTGATGCCCGACGCGCCTTTCCATGCTGGGACGAACCTCTCCTCAAGGCGACCTTTGCTATCACCATGATTTCTCGTGCTGACACGGTCAATCTTTCAAACATGCCTTCCAACTCTGAAACAGTCTATGTTCCCGGAAGTTCGGAGTTTGCAGTATTAGAAGAAAAGTTTCCGTCTCTCCAATCTTTGGACGGGAAATGGAAGGTCACCACCTTTGATACGACGCCTCCCATGTCCTCGTACATCGTAGCCTTTGCAAACGGTCCCTTTTCGTTCCTTGAAAGTTCTGCCAAGATGCCAAGCGGAAAGACAGTTGCACTCCGTATATATGGTACGTGACTTGACCCGAGTCCTAACCGTGGCTAGACGCGTTGTTTCAGCGACTTCCGACTTGATTCATCAAGCACAGTTTGCTCTGGACGTCAAGGAGAAGGTGTTGCCGTTGTATGAAGAGGTCTTTGGCGTGGAATATCCACTTCCCAAACTTGATACGCTGGTTGTAAGTCCATTCTAGGCAAGGTGTGTTCTATGCTCAGCGTTTGGTCAGGCTAGCGATTTTGATATGGGTAACTTATTTGTCTGCCCAATCTCATGCAAACATGGTGACAGTTTTGAACGCTGTTAGGTGCCATGGAGAACTGGGGATTAATAACTGGCAGGACCACTGCATTCCTTCTGGATCCTAACACCACGGACACGAACGCAAAGAAACAAGTCTTTACCACTCAAAGCCACGAGGTGGCGCACATGTGGTAAGTACAGACAGTGAACTCTTTTGATGTTTTGCTTGAGCTTCTCACGTCAGGTTTGGAAATATCACAACTATGGAATGGTGGAATTACTTATATCTGAATGAAGGTTGGTCGCTTTCGCTGTCTCTGACCTTTTCGAGATAAAGATCTGTGTCTAGGCTTTGCTACCCTGGTAATTATTTCTCCATTGATCCACGCATGTGTCACGAACGATTATTCTTAGATGGGTGAAGTAATTATAGCAGGTAGGCGCTTCAGCACATGGTACCACGAGACTTGTCTTAGGGACTTTTTTTCGTAGACAAGTGAACATTCATTACATCTGCTGACGTGTCAAATTAACGCTTGATTCCACAGAGTATTTCCCGAGTTCAAACCCAAATCGGATTTCATTGGTGACCACCTCAACCAAGCTCTTGCTCTTGACGCGAAACGCTCTTCTCATCCTATCGAGGTCGACTGTCCTACAGCTGCGCAGATCAACCAGGTTTGTTGTGTCTTCTGCCAATGCATATCCCCTGGCTAATCCATCACATCCAGATCTTTGATTCTCTATCCTATGCCAAGGCAGCTTCAGGTCAGTGATTCCCTTGTCTTGAAACATCAGTGATGCATTGATGCTGTCGTACCCAGTATTGCGCATGCTTTCGGACTATGTTGGTGAGGAACGTTTCTTGAAAGGGGTCTCGGTGTACCTCCAGAACAAGCTGTACAGCAACGGTACGTCAAAAGACTTATGGGAGGGCATCAGCAGAGCAACAGGATTGGACATTGTCAACCTCATGGAGAACTGGGTTACCAAGGTATCAGCGTGTTCGACGACATGGCCAATGAACTATGAAACAAGCATTGTCTGTAGATTGGCTTCCCCGTCCTTACTGTCACAGAGACCCCGGCTGGCATTCAAGTTCGTCAAGACAGGTTTTTGGAGACGGGGATCGCTGAACGAGCAGAAAATGAAACCCTCTGGTGCGTTCCTGCTGCTATGAATCCCTTGGTGAAAGTTTATGCCATCATGACTTAGGAATGTGCCACTCAACATCTTGTCCGTTGACTCAGGCAATCAGGTTAAAGTTGACAGGTCCGCTTTACTACAAGAACGATCTCAGTTGTTCGCGCTGGACACCAGTAAACCGTTCAAGCTGAATGCGGGAACAGCTGGCGTCTGTGAGTCTGTTTCGTCGCATGTTGAAGCATTAGAATAAACGACTTGACAGACAGAGTGCTGTACACACCTGAACGGCTTTCAAAAATTGCGGGGGAAGCTGCGCAAGTCGACTCGCCTTTCTCTGTCGACGATCGCATGGGTCTAGTTTATGACGCCATGGCACTCTCAAAGGCCGGTCTTTCCAAGTTGAGCAGCGCTCTTACGCTCATAGACAAACTCCGGAACGAGAAAGAATGTAAGCCGAATAGCCATGCAGACTTGTGACTGCACCGCTGACATGGGCACGGGCACCTCATTAGTCTTGATTCTGGATGTCATTGCATCGAATCTGTCTGGACTCGTATCCACCTGGTGGGAATATCCTGAGATTGTGGGCAACTTGAATGCATTCCGCCGTGTGAGTAGTCCGTCGTTCATATCTTACCCCCATCGCTCACCCGACGCAGTCATTGTTCGTTCCGCTGGTGAAAGAATTGGGTTACGAATATTCTGATGGGGAATCTACGGATATAATACGGCTGCGAACGACGGTGATCACACAGGCTGCGGTAGCTGAGGATGAAAGGTTCGTGCATTGATGCTACATATGCTCTTTTGACCGCTAAAGGGGCGTGTAAAGTGTGATAAATGAGCTCAGAGCGCGCTTCGATCATTTCAGGAAAACTGGAGACGACTCTAGAATTCCACCCGGGTTACAACGGGTGACCTACCAGATGGTGCGATGGGGGTGTTTGGCTATCTTCTCCATTGGGGGATGCTCAATTTACGATGCTCTAGGCTGTCAAGTACGGCGGTCGGGAGGAATACGATGCTGTGAAGCAGATACAACTGTCGCCACGGACACCGACATCGAAAACCGCGGCCATGTGAGTGTGGCGGCTAAAGACCGGGACGTTGATGATGATGACAATGACTACAGAATTGCCCTGGGACACGCGCAAGATCCCGAGTTGATCAAGGAGACGTTCGAGTACCTCTTGTCTTCAGCGCGGGACCAAGACTTTACTTACTGGTTGCGTGGGCTATCGACGAACGCCAAGAGCAGACGCCTGGTGGCACAGTTCTTCAAGGATGAATATAAAGTAGTAAGCGCGTTTCAAGATGGAGTAGGGGATCGAGCTGACACGGGCGACGCAGATCTACAAACGTTTCGAGCTGAACGCCACTCTGAAATATCTCGTGGAGGTCGGTGGAACGAGGGGGGGGGGGG